AATCGTCACTGGCCGTGTGCGGGAATCGAACATCGGGTCGCCGGGTTTGTAGCGCAGCGCACTAACCACTTTGCCGTCACTCCCATTAGCGTGTACAAACAGAAAGACACACACGCTCACAAACACACCGACACACAGAAATCCACACCACATACACTCAGACCACAGATGCATGCATACCTTCAACCACACAGAGACACACAATCAAGAGAAGCTTCTTGGCCCATTATGCGCGAGAAGAGACTTGAGAGGCAATGGAAGAAATCTGGCATTGAGATTCAAAACCAGAGATGGAAAATCCACACCAAGACCGAGCAGTCGGTCAGTACTGCTTTGTCCTGATTAAGAAGGTTGCTGGGAATACTGAATGTATTTGTAGCACTGCACACTCCCTCCTGCTCCCTCCGAACCTGGCTTCCTCCACTACCCCAGTCGTTGCCAAGTGTGAACAATTGGCCTATTTCTTTGAAAGGGGCAATACAATTATCAAGAGCTTTGTGATGTCTGACTCTGTTCGCTCATCCTTTTGCTTATCCTATTACCTCCTCACCACCTTCCATTAACATCCCCCAGCCTGTCACGATAGAAACGGGACTCCAAATATCTCCAACAAAAAACAAGTCTCCCCCAACGCTGGATCACGACCGCTGCCGAACATTCGATGCTAAAGAAACACACACACCTGGACCCCGACATTCCTGAAAATGTATCACCCTATTTTAAACTGACCTCTCCTCCCTGGAGAAGTTCTACAAATGGTCATCTGCCACCTTTCCAAACACCTCTTCCTCCCTTGCTTCCATGACCCAATAGACTCAGCGAAGGTCACGCTCCCGAGATGGTTCGGCTACCTGCTCCCAATCGCTTTCTCTCCTCGTGCATCCTTCTAACTCCAGCTCATACAGCTCACAACACTTCATCATTTTCCTTTTCCGACACATGAGCTTATTTAGTAACAAATTTGAATTCATGAAATGTTTGTTACTCAATAGCTACACATTCGCGTTCCAATTAAGAAAATACTTTAGCAGAAAAAAATTCAAATGTAATGTTGATCAGGCCCCACAGTGTTAAGTATAGTATCCAAGCTTCATGGATTAACTCTGCCTCTCTGTGCTCTCTATGTGCTATGCAAATTTACCATTGCCAAAAATGTCACCTATTATATAGTGTCACTTTAAAGACTGTTATTGACGAGTGTGTTGAACTTTTTGTTATTTGTGTTTGTGCACAATTCTATGTTTTATAACATAGATCCCTCTGTGTATCTTTAACGTCTCCATGGCTACTTGTGTGTCTATGGCACACTTAGCACCTGGGTCTGCTTTATCAAAGCTCTTCTATATGTCAACACATCTTCCACAATGTGCCGCAGCTTCACTGAATTCCATAGATAAGTACAAATAAGTGTAGTGACATTGAATGAATCACTGCAGCGCGTGCCGCTGGGAGATTGGTAAACAGTGGAATTAGGGGTTGCAGCATGTTCTACCAGTTGCACCTGTGGGCAAGGCAAGGAGCCTCCTGGGGGATCCAGAAGGGTGCGGGGCCGAGGGTGTAGCCTGGCCACGCTGGGCAGGATAAAAGGCGAGCCCCGACTCACAGTCGGGCTAAGACCGGAATATAAGTATAACCCGTAAAAACTAAGTTTTTTACTCTAAATCCTTTATATGCGTGGCGGCTAGAGTCCTCTCGTCCTCTGGCTTGAGATGGCTGCCACATATGGGTCAGATGATTGTCTGCAGTATTAAACTAATTGGTAATTAAATATTTAATTTGTTTTCCCTAAACAGTGTAAAATTTAGGAATTTTTTTTCACGAACATTAATTGTCTCGCACAACGAGTCTGTGTGCAAAATGTCAGCTCGATTGGATCACGGGAAGTGGGTTAAAAAACGACCGAAAGGTTTGCACGGTCGTAAGCAAGCAAGCACGCAAGCAAGCAAGCAAGCGAGCTTAATATAAAGGATTTAAAAAAAGAGTACCTGCTACTAGTGTCTGTGAATTAGTACACGTCATAAGTACCATCAGCAGCTTTCGAATTGCTCTTGCAAATACACATGTCATCTCCTCGTGGGTGCAGCTTAATTAGCACCGTGATAAGTGTTCAGGTCAGAGGTTTCTCTGTTGGTTTATTTTCAATAGTCTATGTACTTATGCAAAACAGAACTACACAATTTCAGGAGCTGTTTTTTTCTCTCCTAATATCTGCAAGTCTCCACGAAGGGACTATATATATGTATATATTTACACACAGTAAAATAGGCATTGCAGGGTTCAAAGTAGCTAGCCCGTGATAGAAAAAGACAAACTGTGCTGCAAAGAGACAAATATAGATGGAGATACATAAACGGAGATGTAAATAGAGAGAAGAAATGTATTTTTTCTAGATTTGAAGCTTTCGTGACTGCAAGGATTCATATTCTTCGGTTTTTTCGGTAAAGTCACGTAGGTAAAAATAAATAAAATGAATAAAAGTCAAATAAAATAAAAATCACGACGTTTCGGAGGCACGTCGTGATTTTTATTCTATTTTAATTTTATCTTACTTTTATTAATTTTAATTTTTTACTAAGGTGACTTTACCGAAAAAACCTAAGAATATAAAATGTATTTGTTTAAAATTATATTTATGATTTAGGTTTATGTAGCACAAACTAACTATGCTGACGTGATATTTTGAGCAGTTAATCATGTGTGCATGCTTTAGACGTGGATATTATTTTTTTATCATGCAAAAGACATTGACAAGAGACCAAAGTGGTACATATGCTCCATTTGGGTTTCAGGAAAAAAAATGGCGGGGCTCCTACGATCCACAATTTTTTACGATGAACAATGGAGTCCCCAGGTCACGTCCTCCTCCTATAAGTAAAATTTTCACCGCAAATTAACGGAGCCGCATAGCCCAAAACTAAAATCCACGAAAGAATACACATATCTGACATCATGGATTTTTGGATTTATTTTGCATATCGCCACAGATTGCAGGATCTGCGGGGAGGCCCCCACCCCCACCGCAGGTTAACGGAGTTCACTGTATTTCCCGCAGCGACCTTTCTGGCTGACCCCAAATTCCAGCTTACTCGCGTCCAGGTTCAAGAGCTTTTAGCGTAGTGATAGCAAAATAATCTAGGTCAGCGGGTGGCCTATTTTAGACGAATTAAAAGCGACAGATTTAAACACCTAGCGGATCAAAATGACAAAATGGATGTCACTAATTTAAATCATATATTAACTAACATAGTGATAGATGTTCAGCTGGCGTTGAGCTGAGCAGCTCTTTAACAACGAGGACGACCACATCCCGGCACCTTTGGCAGCAGTTGCAGGAAGAGGAGCGTTATAAAAATGTAGATGCTGAACAAAACACTGAGGTCTAATAATTCTGCAAAATTATCAGGAAAGTAATAGAATAAGAGATCAGAGACTACGAAACAAAGGTGATTGAAAATGTGAGCATGAAAGCAGCACAAAAGGGGCTTGATGATTGGCAATTCACAACTGTTAGGCCCTAGGGAGAAAGATTGAACCATAATACTTGACAGCAATGGAATATTGCAATGTACAGCTAGCTCTATAACAGCCTATTACGTTACGGTTAAGCCATGTTTGTTTATTGAAGTACTGAATTAGCCTGATAACTTTAATCTAAATTGTCTTTTGGTTGTTATTTTTTTTACTTAAATCCCATTGGGATTTTTTTCACAAAGCCTTGTTATACTGTGTTTTTTTCTGGAAGATTTTGCTGGTTTTCCTGGATGTTTCTGTTGCGTGTTTTCATTTTAAGATATTCTGTTCATGTCTTTGTTTGTTGCGGTTGCACCCGAGTCAAGAGCCACATGGCTCACAGGGCTATACCTAATAAATAAAATTAACTATCATATGTGGATAGGTTGTTCACAAAGACCATTGTGAACAGAATAACAAATCATTTAGGGACTAACCAAACACATGAACAAGCGGGTTTTGGAAAGGTTTTTCCACCAATTGCCACATGCATAACCATCAATCCGATTCTAGAAGAGACAACACAGTGACAACCAAGGGAGGGAAAGCACCCAATACACGTCCACCGTGGAGATGGAGCGATGAAATCAGCGATAGCGCAGGTTCTTGGTGAATTTTACATCACAGAACCAATTGGGATGGAAACAGCGTGGGGAGACCCTCACCGAGCTGATGATGACATCCAAAGGGTTTTGTTATTGAATTACATTTCTAAAGCATATACTAGTTTAAGTATTATGCAGCTGCATAATATTTGGTTAATGACATAGCAGACACCTACGATTAGCACAGGTGGCTACGTACGGTGCGAAAGAAGGTCTACATACATACACGCATAAGAAGTAGTCATAGGAAGAGCAACTTGATGTGTGAACGACGGCGTGAATTATGCACCGATTTCCCTTTTTATTATTACACGCTTTTATTTAACTCTGTTGTAGCCTCAAAAAAGAAATCGTATAACTCAATTGTTACACACTTCCCAATGTGCTATCGACTGCAAACTTCGTATAGGTATGTCATACTGATGACAACACGATATTCTATCATAAAAAATCAAAAACATATATTTTTAACTTTTTATATACTTTATTTAATTTACTGTATGTGTTGTATTCAAAAATCTTGTAACTCAATTTCAACCGTATTCCCAATGTCGTATCGACTGCAAACTTGGTATAGGTGTGTCATACTGATGACAATACTATATTCTATCATTGAAAATAAAAAAGATATATTTTAAACAATTATTTTTTACGGCTCTAATTGTCGACGCTTAACTCACGTTGCCTGTAAATCACCACGTGGTCCCTGACGTCACGGCAAGCCACGGGGAGCCACGCCCAGGGGCGGGGGATGTGGAAGGAGGGGGCGGGGCGATGGGGGAAGGGGGCAGGGGGAGGGGCAGCTCGGACAGTACATTTCATTCAAGCGTCTTTAAAAAAAGTATTTTTTATATTTTATTCAGTGGAGCTGAAGGAGACGCTTACCGCTCAGTGAGAAGTCGACACTGGAGGCTCCGAAGATGATGCTCTCCTTGGAGAAGACGGCCACCTCCCGGTCCGCACGCAGGTCATAGAGCCGGCACTGCCCCGCACAGAGCACCGGTGACAAGACAATTCATGCACCGCATGCCCCTTCACCGCAACACTGGCACGACCATTAATCAAGTCAAGTACAACCAGGCACGCAAGCCCATTGAGACAAGGCTCTTGCAAAGAAGACCAAATAATTCACATTCTTGGTTCTTTCAGTAAAGTCACGTAGAAGGGAAATAATAAAATAATATTTATATTAAACATATATTATTTTATTATTTCCCTTCTACGTGACTTTACCGAAATAACCAAGAATATGAATCCCTGCAGGCACGAAAGCTTTAAATCAAAATTCAAATAATTCACGTCGCACATATCTGCCGTACGACAGTTCCGTTCGGGTCGGATGTTCTTAGGTTCGCGCATTGCTTTCTTGTGCAGGAAATATTGAGCCGTGGCAAGCCGAGCAAATGGACTTGATTTTAATTGTAGAAGTTGTGTATAGTTTGTAAATGTAGGTGCATTGGAACCATACATTTGTAACGCAACTGTCTATTTTTGAGTGATATTGCGGTGTCTTTGATGTCCAGTAAAAGGCATGTAGCTCAAGACTTTGATATCGACCTGTGCCAACACTGGGATGGAAGTGGATTTGGCTTTCTTGAACATGTTCAATATATTACCCGAAGGTTCAGTCCACTAATGGATCCAGCTTCCTGAGATCCAAAACTAGAGACGCCAATTCGGGCAGTTAATAACATTTGATTTGGCGATATTTTGAATGCAATTAAACGGTTAATGTATTTACACAAATAAATGCATCATGTGGGTCAAATATAGTTTTCAATAAAATAATCCGAATTTAGTACCATATTCAAACTACTGCAGTAATGTTTGAAACAAGCTTTGTCTCGATATCACATTAAATTCGTTTCATAGGGTCCGTTGTTCAAAAGAATTTTGACCTCGCCTAGTCGAACCAAGCAATGTAATCACATTTAAAATGCGTCTCACGAACGTAGCAAGAGTTGCGATGAACATTTAAAGTAACGTATTCTTCATTTTAAAATACCTCCCCGTAAATGTCGCTATTAAAAGCAGCACCTGTGAATGTTGGAACGGGGCTTTTAAAGAGTAATGAGCCTGACTCGTTTTCATCATTTAACGTAACATACATCTGTTACGTATTTTCAAGGCACCGCAATATGGTCAATTCTCTTGAAGTTAACAACAATTTCATCGATTTAACCTGGCAAATAACACCGCCATACAATCGCAGCGCACAGGCCTAAACTAATAGACGTATCAAATAGAGTAGAACTCCTCTCATCCGTGCTCGTATTACTTGCAACTCCTATTATACAGGGCACCCACTGATCTGGGGAAAATCCTCCGATCCGCACGTCCATGCCCCACATTTACACATTGTGAGTCAGGGCAGAGACTCAGCAGTGGCCACGCTGCAAATTCCTCCCATTATCCACGGAGCCGCACACCAGAAGCTGTGCTCACACGGACGGATATGCGAAGGAGAAACATTTGTCTGATAATTTTTGTTAGTTATTTTTGTTAGGTATTGTGCTGTCATATGACAACCGGATTGCTGATAATAATGGGTCGGTGGAAGGTGACGACGAAAAAGATCGTATATTGTTTCTAGATTTGAAGCTTTCGTGACTGCAAGGATTCATACTTTGTTTGTTTTTTTCGGTAAAGTCACGTAGGTAAAAAATAAAACAAAATAAATGAAAACAACTAAATTAAAACACGACGTTTCGGGCGCAACACAAGCGTCCTTCTTCAGGTGGGGACAACGTAGTGAAAGCACAGCCGCTTAAGTGTGTGTGCTTTCGCTACGTTGTCCTTGTGTTGCGCCCGAAACGTCGTGATTTAATTTAGTTGTTTTCATCTTTTTTTTTACCTGCGTGACTTTACCGAAAAAAACCTAAAGAAAATCGAATATTGTTGTCGTATTATTTTAACATCGCTGTGGAACATTCCCACGAGGCGCGCGCTCAGCCCTCCCGTCGCACTCGTCCCCTGCCTTCCCCCGCCGTGCCGAGTGAAAATCGTTCCCATTGCACGCGGACGAGAGCGTGGCGCATCGAGAATGTGCCCCGGAAAGGACGACCGCGCGGCAGATGTGGAGCACCGAGACCCATTCATCGTGCGCGAGAGATGGATTGTGACCGTGCAAGACAATCGGGGATGGTGACGGCCACAAATTGCCTCCATTCAGCAGTGAGCACAGAGCGGCAAATTACGATGGTGGCGGTGATGATGGTGATCATTCTGCCACTGCCCCGACTCGCCGCTCATGATGACACCGCGGACTGAAGGACAGAGTAGAAGGCTTTTTGTTGGGTTAGATCGCGTAAATGTATAAATGTGTCGTTAAGACCCGCCACCACCCGACACAGCCAACTAGTGAGGGTTGTCATGTAAACAGAACGTGCCAGCCCTTTCCCCCACCCACTCGCTCTGGAGCCCTTTATAGGCAGCTGCATTTGGAAGCTTGCCCCCTCTTTTCTCTCCACCTGAAGACCGCTTGTGTTGCGATCGAAACGTCGTGGGTTTTTTGCTTTTAATTTAGATTTTTGTTTTATATCTACGTGACCTCACAGAAAGAACCAAGAATAAGAACGTGGCCAATTCGTCACTTGTACAGCACCACACCGGTGTGTTGGAGAGCCAAGCCACAACATTTACACTCTGAGTACGACGTTTCGCCAGTAATTACAACTAGCTTCATCAGGCGACAGCCAGATTTGTGGAGAAGTCCACCCGAGTGGCAAATTACTCCCTGTGACCCGAAAATTTCTAGGGCTGTGAGCCACCCTGAAGTGGTCTCCCACAAACGCGCCATCGCCGTTATCCACACGGATTATTAGTCACATGGAGGGGAGGGGGCAAATCCACAAACAAATACAGATAATTAAATTAATTGAAATTTGTAAAGTGCCTCTTCCTCTTCCCATCCGAAGTCCCCATTGAGCACGGTTGAGGAGTCCCACTGTAATACATCACATACGTGACAACTGAAAAATATCCCCAAAAAATGATTTATCATTTACGATCATTCCAGTTTTTTTGTTCCAGCAGTGACGAGTACATTCCCTTTTAAGTGTTCTTCTCTTTCATCATGAGGCCTCCTTTGCCAGTACCAAAATATACTAATAGGGTTTTTCCCTTTTTTTACCAGAGCATTGTTTTTTGTTTTCATTTTGACTGCAAGTATTGTGGTTAATGTAAACATGACTCCTTGCAAAAGGTGTCAGTTTTGTTGCCAGAAAAAAGGAGAAAACCCCTATTAGTATGTTCATCTCTTGTTTGTTGCGTATATTGCACACATTGTATTGTGTTTGAACATTGTATTTGCTCTGCGTTCACTTCCTTGATGAGTGATTCTTTCAAATACTGCTTTGCTCTGGCATCTTGAGATCTACTGCATAGGAGGTGCAGTATAAATACTTATACAATCAATGCTGCTGCTGATGCATGTCGTTTCTGTGTGCTCAAAGAGAGGAATTAGGTCATTGTGATGTCACTCTTGCTATAACGTGGAAGACGCACACGTGAATGGTCATGGGTATCTGAACCTGTCCTGGGCCTCCTATAAGTCAACTCGGCCTTAAACTAGTACGCAGTATCGCGTGTGGATATCAGGACTAGGGAGACAAAGGGTGTGGTTCTAACCACATCACCCACTCGTGTGCCGGGGATGCATTAACAGCAATGACCACAAACGCCTGTTAATGGCTACATGGGTGACTTTTGTATTGTGAGCGTCAGAGTGGATGCGTGCGTGTGAGTGTGACAACCTCATGATCATCACCCTTGGCCACTGAAGCTGCCAAATGCTTTGGAGGCACTGGATCAGGATGTGTTCTACCAGATGGAGTTTTCATCCATGCTGTAGGACACACGAATTATGATCCTCTTTCCTGTACTCTCAACGTTGCAACACCTCCCCCCCCCATCGTCTCTTTGCCCCAAGTTTCTATCATCATCATCATCGTTGGCGACGATCAATCCGCTGACGGAAGAAGAACTCTACAAACCATCACCATCTCGTACGGTGCTGCAACGTAACAATGCACGAGCACCTGCCCAACAGCTTGTTTCTTCGCTCCATCTCCGTGGTGGATGCCCTCTCGGGAGCATTCCCTCCCTCGGCTGCCACGCTGTTGTTATTCTATCCAACCCTTTGTGCGACGCGCTCTGGCCCAAGTCCACTCACTGTGTCTCTTCTCTCAGCCACGTGATCCTCTTTCTCTCTCGTTGCAACTCCAAATGTGCACCACTCCACACTTATAGGCACTCAACAGTGTCCATGTTTTGTTCACATTCCATCTTCAACAACTGCCCTAAGTATATATATATTCCAATCCAAAACTTTCGATAAATGGTGAGAAACCCCATCACAACAGCAAACTGCCGACAGGGATGGAAGCGATGATGTTTAATAGCACTCAGAGGTGTGCTCACAAACAGCAGGGAGGCACAAATTCCCACCATGCCTTGCATGCATGTCATATGGTCTTGCATGCATGTCATATGGTCTTCACATTGCATGTACATGGCAGATTGTACGTGGTAGAGCGTACGTGGAGGAGCGTACGTGGTAGAGCAGTAGTGTCGTGGTTAGCGAGCTGCGCTATGAACCTAGCGACCCGGGTTCGATTCCCGCTCACGGCCAACACCAGTGACGATTATCTGAACCGGTCCTGGGCCTCCCCTAGGGCGACTCAGCCTGAAATGAGCACCTGGTGCAGTGCGTAAACATAGCCACTGGGGAGACAAAGGCGATCGGGCGTGGTGCTGGCCACCCACCCCCTCGTGTACCGTTCCGTCCTTCATAGGTGCTCGCTAACAGCACTTGCCCCTACAGTCTGTTAAGGCTATACGGGGGGTTTTTGTCTTTGTGATCGAGGATAGAGAAATGCTTCCTCGACCCTGTGCTGTCACCTCTTCGGCCTCGACGGTTTTTATAAATCTGAGTTCACAAAGATCTTCAAGTCAATTTCAATACCCTTGTTAATTGAATAACGAATGTGGCATCAACCCATTATTACATAATTTAACTTCTCTGTAAACATTTAGTTGAACATGAGCACTAATTTTTGATCCAATAATTGGTCTCGCTCCTTTGACGAGGTCGAAAGTTATACCATCTGGTTTGCCTGCTTTTCAAACGTCCACATTTGAATAAGTGAACTGGCCTTCACAGGTTTTCATAACCAATTAAATAAATGTTGTTTTGATTTAAAGCTTTCGTGGCTGCAGGTATTCATATTCTTGGTTCTTTCGGTAAAGTCACGTAGAAGGGATTTCACACCTGATGATGATTGCTTGTGTTGCAGTCGAAACGTCGTGAGAATTTTATTGTTTTATTTTTTTACCGAAAGAACCAAGAATATAAATATGTTGTTGTATTTGTATACACTATCACTCATACTCTCAGTGTATCCTGGCCACTTTGAATTATAGGCCTTCAGGCCTGCATTTGGTATCTGTGATAATAAAAAAAAATCGAATTATCCTTTCAAACAGAGAAGGAAGGCAGTCTGATAGAAACTGACAAACTCTCCTGTTGGTGTTCACACCACAGCAGCGAGAACAGAGAAGACAACCCCCTGGGCCAAGAGGACCACTTTGTGCACGCTACACCTCACCGACAGCAGCTCTCAAACCCTCGTCTACAAAGTGCACTATGTATTGGCAGGACTCTCGCTTCGTGCGAATATAAACTCCCTTCAACCACCCGAACCAGTGGAAAAAAGACGCATTAGTAAATCTAGATTTCAAGTTTTTGTGACTTCAGGGATCCATACTCTTTGGTTCTTTCGGTAAAGTCACGTAGGTATAAAACAAAATAAATTAAATCACGACGTTTCGGGCGCAACACAAGCATCCGTCATCAGGTGGGACGCTTGTGTTGCGCCCAAAACGTCGTGATTTAATTTATTTTATTTTATACCTACGTGACTTTACCGAAAAAACCAAAGTGCATTATATAATGTTTAATGGCCTCGGGTTATTGATTCTTACCGTGGCGTCGTCCGAGCCTGTGGCAAACGCATCTCCACTTGGGTAGTACCTGCAGGAAGAAACGCCGCCAGAATAAGACCGCATGGCAAAGCGCAGCGTGCAGTATGACAATGCTGCTGCAGCCACTGCTGTTGACGATGACGTACCGACAACGGCAATGGCAATGCTGATAGTGATGACGACCGTCATACAGTGACACGCGACAATAGTTCAACCGCTTTCAGCATACTCTTTGGTTCTTTCGGTAAAGTCACGTAAGTATGAAATAAAATAAATCACGACGTTTCGGGCGCAACACAAGCGTCCATCATCCACGAAATGTTTGCATTCCAACGACTATAAAAATGATTTTAAAAAACCTTTTTTTTCCATCAAAAATTAAGGGCTTGCTAAACAACTGGCAAGCCCGATCTTGCGAAATGTGGAACACCGACCGAGCGAAGAACAGCGCGCTTGCCTGTCGACGCCAGAATAATTGCTAATCAAGCAAGAAAGTGGGGGATGTCTCCCATCGTTCTCTTTCTGTGTGTGGTATCGTATAATGAGACGTAATTCGAACTGGTTAATGCGCCCTACGATATTCGCTCACTCTCGTAGAGAGATAAAACACGACTGAGAGGCTAGAGGAGGAACCACAGAAAAGCAGGAACGGCAGCCATGCCTATCACGGGGTTATCAACCAATTAATGAGTTCATAATCAACGTTTTTGGGTTAGATCGCGTTATTTATAAACGTGTCGTAACCCTCCACCATCCGACACGGCCAATCAGCAAAAAAAGTGTCACGTTGACAAAAGACAAATAGTTCACTGCTTTAGCCCGCCGGTGTGTTGAAGAGTGAAACCACAACATTTACAATATTTGAGTGGAGGGTTACGACATATTTATAAATAACGCGATCTGACCCAAAAACGTTGATTATGAATAATATTGGTCGCGAAAGCCTCACACGTGTTAAACAATTAATGAGTGTTTACATGTGGGGAGGAAACCGGATCACCTGGAGAAAGCCCATGTGTGCAAGGGGGAAACACTCTATCCCATACAGATGGAACAGGTGGAGTTCACTTTTTTCTCGATGCCCGTGGCAAGGGAGATTCTCAACATTTGTGCAATCCACAAACAAGCTGTTGACACGTGGGAACAAACCGCAGAATCCAGAGAAAAGACTCAATCTCATACAGATGGGACGAGTGGAGTCCACATTTATCCTGCGCTGCATTCTTTTGGAAATCCAGGGTTATGGCGCCTCCTCAGGAAGGGAGTTTCCCAAAATGTATGCGATCCACAAGGCCTAACCTCCACAGTGCTGGGTTGCAAGCGTTGCGCCTACCACCATCACGATAATCCTCCTGGATATCCTCGTGATGGAGGTAGCCACAATCGCTTGGGCTGCACTTTCCCAAGCCTGCTAATACACCCTTCCTATCTGGGATGGCGAAGACAATGTGTTCTTTCTCTATATATATTTATATACAAAATAGACTTACACTAACGAAAAACAACGATTTTAGTCCATTAGCCTGTTGGCCTTGCAAACTACTGGTGGAGCCCACAAGGAAGCAGAACGTCCCATGACAGTTCTGGTGAACCGCTGGCACTCATCGGCATCGCTGGGCCCGAGCCACGGCGCTAATTTCCACATTCTCGTGCCGGGCACCAATCTCCCTTCAGGACGTCCGTGTCGTGAAACAGAGTTGAGGGTTTTTGTACACATCCCAGATGGATGACGATGAATGACGACGATACAATTAGCGTTACGTCTGCTTATGTTAATGACGCTGATGATGCTATACCTGATGATTATGTGTGTGTGTGTATAATGTCAATGTGTGTTTGATTGCAGGTACTGGATGTCATAGACGCCTCTCCACTTGGCGCCTCGAGCACATGCTCATTTAGACGTTATATACCTAAGTTATTTGGTGACTTGATTTAACTAATTAACTATTTTAAAGGGAAGACTTTCCCAGTACCCTTGCACCGGGCCAGAGTCCCCGGCATCCACCGCCGTGGTTGGTGTGAGGTTATAATCAGCCAACGAAGAAAGCCTTTCCCCTGACAGCATCGCTCACAACACTCCGCGTCATTACGGTCTGCTGCCACAGGGAGCTGGACCTGGCCCCACGGGGGCTGGCGGGAGCCTCGAAGGTAAGCGTAGAGTAACCTCCAACTGTAAGTGATTGGCTAAATCTTCCATCTGCCAACCGATGAGTGATGTGGAACCGGAGAGATGGTGACGCGTACGGGGTTAGGGGTTGGCGTCCCGCACGTACAGCCGAGTGGGGCGAGCGATCGTGCCGCAGGCAGCCCCGCATCACATTCTGACAAATGCATGGACCGCCGGACAGGTTTTGCAGGGATGGAGAGGGACGTTTTGGTGGTCTTTATTTAGAAGGCAAACCACACTGATTGTAGCAGAAATGGTGGGGGGGGGGGGGGGGGGGCATTTCCATCCTCATTGTACTGGGAAAGAGTCTGGCGAGGATTGTTCAACATTGCATTGCCAGACACACGAAGACAATGGTTTACGGGCCACTAATGTTAGTCCAACAGGGGTGGTGCGGCATTGACATCATATTCTCTGTCTGCAGGTGTCAAACAACACAAAACATGTGTAAAAAGAGATCTCAGCCTCGGTGCATTTTGCATAAATACATCAGCAGATTCTGAACAACTGCGTTATAGAAATAAGCATAAAAATGGGCGACAAACACATTCGAAAAATGAAATATTTTAAGGAGGTCAAGGTCAGGTCGGAGGTCACTGGGCATGTTCAGGATAGGCAGTCTCAGTGGGATCATTCGAATGCAGTCCAGATTAAACACAGGCGCGTATAAATAAATAGCTTTAAATAAATAATAAACAAGTCCTCTTACAGAGAAAAGGACAAAAAACGCATTGTGTGTTTAAATCGCCTACGGAGCAGATCCTAAAATGGGTTGTGTTTCATGATGTGTATTTAAAAGGGGCCGTCCATAAATGACGTCACGTGATTTTGGCCGATTTTTTACCCCCCTCCCCCCCTCGTCACACGGCGTCACAAAAAGTCAGACCCCCCTCAAATATGACGTCACAAAGCTCTGCCCCCCTCCCCCAAAACCATATTTCCATTTTGAAAATAAAACATGCTTCAAATTACTTTAAACTATTGTCATTGTAGTGCGTATTTAATGTGGCGCTGCACTCTGATGTTGTAGGAGAAAACATGTATTAAAAAGGAGGCATCGGAAAGGTGAAATTTTGCATAAAATTCACTTGAAAATATTCAACGTCTAACTAAAACTGCAGATGTTCAGAATATTATATTGAAATTCTCTTATAATTATAAAATATTAAAAGTAATTATAACTATAAAAACAATACTTGAAACTTTGTAGTAGAACGAAGCAAAATGGAGAGTACAGTTCTTACTATCATTTATTCATTCCACAGAATGAAAAGCCCTGGTAGAATAATTAAAATCAAAATGTTTAATAACAATCATTCAAAAAAAGTACAAAATGTATGCTTCTCCATTCTCCCATGGAGAAGCAAAATGCTCATTCATGGAATAAATAAAAGGTGACCTTAGTAAATTTAAATAATCAAATAGTTAATAATGAAAATGTACAAAAATGTGTGTTGTTACAACAATTATATTGTTTATATTTATTTAAAGTTGCGTATTTTGACGTGACGTCACATTTCTCAAACCCCCCCCCCCCTCGTCACACATCGTCACAAATGTCTGACCCCCCTCCCCCCCCCCTAGGTGCGTGACGTCATTTATGGACGGCCCCCTAGAGAGGATTGTGTTAGTCAGGGTTGTGTTTCATGATGTGTATAAGAGTGGTTTGTGTTAGTAAGCCATGTGTTTTATGTTGTCTGTTAAATTATTTTGTGTTAGTAAGGCATATGTTTTATATTGTGTGTTAAAATGAATTTGAGTTAGTAAGTAAAGTGAAGTGAATTTTATTTTAGTTTACATGCATGGTGCCTTGCTGGCACAAATCTTCCACTCAAATCGCCATCATCAACGTGAAAACTCAAACTCTACGTAACATGAGAGAGATTCTCAACGATGGGAAAAAATATATTTCTATTTACAAACTATCTGCGGTTGTTTAAAATATAAAAACAATGAAGCAGGTTGTGGTTGTGAGTTTGTCGTTGCATGCAAGTGCGAAGAGAAGCGTTGTTGAGTTGTCGTGATGGAAGTCGAGTGTGCCGATTGCTTCAGGGAGGCTGTTCCAAAGGTGTGGCGCTGCAAATGAGGAAGATCTGTCCCCCATGGTTCCGTGTGTTAAGTTGTTCATGGCTGGGGGAGTGTTTGAGTTGGGGGGGGGGTGAAGTGATCTGCTGTTTCGCTTGATCTGCATGAGGTTTGTGGTGCAAGGTGGAGCTTGCTTGTGTGTTACTTTGCATGGTAAGAGGATGTATTTGTGAAGTGCATTCTACGTTAGATTAGGAACCGGTGTACATTTTTTTTTTTACAGTTTGTTAGATGTGGGATGATTTCGGGAGGTTGAAAATTAGTCTAGCGGCATTATTCCGGATGATTTGTGGGCGTTGTAGCTGTGTTTGAGGTATGTCGAACAATAGTGAGTTGCAATAATCTCGCCGAGATGTCACGGATGCATGTATGAGGGATGGCCTGTTGCTAATGGAGATGTATGAAGCTATGCGTTTGATGGTGCGTAGATAGTAGTGTCTGGTTTCTGTGATTTGAGATGATGTGTTCTGAGAAATGTACCCTCATGTTTGATGTGATGCCCAAACTATTTACTGTGTTGGTTGGTCACATCAGCAAGAGGTCTGCTGTTATTGAGACGATTAGCAGGTTTGTTTGTTGTTTAGTATTCTGAGGAGTTCTGTTTTTTGTATGTTTAGTTATAACATCTTCTTGGTTCTTTTGGTAAAGTCACGTAGAAGGAAAATAATAAAAATAAAACACAATATTAATTTATTATTTTTCTTCTACGTGACTTTACCGAAAGAACCAAGAAGATGAATCCCTGCAGTCACGAAAGCTTTAAATCGATAGTTATAACACGTTGTTTGGTAGTGTTTAGCGCTTTGGTAATTCTTTGCTTGTGTTTCACATTGTGTATTCGAGTGTTATGTCGTGGGAGCGTGTTGCTGACATACGTAGCACACATTCAATATTTATCCTGCACAGTATCCATGTTGCGGCCTACACCCTTACTCCCATTGATTGAGAATCGCTGAACTAAGATAACTGAGAATACGAATCTATAACAAGCGCCAACATTTTTGGCAATTTAAGTCAATCAGGAAATGGCAAATCCCAACATGATAGATGACTGACACCAAAAGGCCATTGGACAAGCAGAACAGCATAACATTCTTCAGAAGAACAGTTTAAGAGATTATATAATATTTCTAAACACCACTGGACGTGAACACAAAATTTTGTATTTGAATGTTGTCATCTATCGCTAGGTGTAAATGATGGAAATTTAAGAAAATGAAACCGATGGTCAAGTGATTAAAAAAATGTTCACCCAAAAAATATTTTCTGCCAATTCTGGACAATTGCATTCGTACGATTGCTCAAGGCCATGGCCTTGATATTCAGCTACTCACAAATGTAGCGAATCAGAGTTATGGAGTAAAACTGATGTAGAAAACATTTCCCAAATTGCAACATTGTGGCTCAATCGGCTCTCATTCTAACAAACGGACGTTCCATTAATGTACTGCGCAGGCCCAGATGTGGTTTACGTTTTGGCCCGGACTGCCAGTGTATTCAGCACAACCACACAAAATAAATTGATGCATTTTTCTTCCTGTAAATGAATGAAATTGTGTACTTAACTAAAATAAAATGTTTTTCCACCAAAGCAATTTACCCGCAAAGAGCATCTCCTGAAACTGGACCTGCCCAAGTGGCCGGGCAGTGCTGACAGCATTCCCTTATTATTCGTGAGGGGCACATTCCAGAGATGCTCTTGAAGAGCAAATTTGACGTATAATGATATTGGCCTTTGAAGACCCATCATTTTAATTCTTTGCCTGAAATAAATATGCTAATAGGCTATAAAAAATATGACAAACATCATCATATACCTGATCACTTTATCGCATCACTTTATCTCGCCACTTTAATTCTCGATGCAGCCGCGTAGAATTCCCGATGCGATTTGCGGATGGCCAAAATCGCGGACAGCACCCTCGTGAGTAACGAGGGAATACCGTATGTCACAGGGCTCAACGTGGGGCGCGTAGATTTCCCCGCGCGGTGCGTAGATTTCCCCGCGCAGCGCGCAGCTCTGACCTTACGCTGTTGATGTCAGACTCGTGCGTTTCAAAGCACTGCACGCACTGGCCTGTGCGCATGTCCCACACCATTGCCTTCTTGTCGCAGCCCTGTGAAGCACAGTGCCAGGTCATGGGCAACCAAGGACACAGATCCACCAGTGCAAATTGGAGTCGCACAAACTCTGCTGCTCAGATAATGAAACAAATCACCTGGTGGTATACAGTCTATATATATAACAGGGGGACGTTTTGGGTTATTGGCGCTTCCACATGGGCGATGAAGGGTAAGAAGGGCAATGACCCTTCTTTATGTCTAAGTGCTATGAAGAAGGAGCATTGCGTTCATTTGTGTCTCTTCTAAACATAATCTCTCTCCTTTTTTTTCTACTCCTTCTGAAAAAGCTCTCCTATTTGTCTTCAGTCTCCTGAATACATCTCATCAAAATGCATATTGTCATCTTACAACTGGACTTCCCATCTGTGTATCTATCTCTTGTCTACCTATCTGCTGCCATCTCTCTAGAAGTTTATACATTGGATGGGGATGGGGAAGAACCACTGATTTTGTTTAGGGCTAACACCACTGTCATTCACAATATACTACTTTGTCATGACCATCATCATCTTCGGCCACGATCAATCCACTGCTCGATAAAGTCCAGTTTAAACTGTCATTATCTATCATGGTTTGTGATGTAACAGCACCTGCACACGAGCTAACATCACAGCTCCGTCCCTTGGCTGCCAGTCTGTCATTCGTCTCGACCACAGACCCCCCATGCCTTCTAGCGACAGGCCCGGCTCAACTCCTCTTACTTTAAACGTCAATTTGATGCGTTATACAATCCGCTCCTCTTTCTGATTCTCAGTGCAATTTCTAGTATGCACCACGCCATACTTATTTGCACGCATTTCAGTTTATGTTTCACATTTCTATCTTTGCCAATCTCCTATTATTCTGATCCATGTCATAACAGACAAACTGCACTCATTAAAGCATTTCTACTTTAGGCACATCGGTATGTTTTTTTAAATCTGATTTAACCATGATAATAGCTTGAGATTTACATCCAATTTCGAACGGAACACAACACTGCAATCATATTCAACCTCAATGGTACTTGCAAACGAGAGATCCTGGGAAGCCACCGTTTGGCCATGTTTGTTTATTGTAGTACAGAGTTAGACTGATGGCTTTAATCTAGTTGTCTTGTGGTTGTTGTTTGACTTGCATCCCACTGGGATTTTTGCACAGCGTTGGTATACGGTGCTTTTTCTGGAAGTTTTTGCTGTTTTTTCCTGGATTTTCTGTTTGCACGTCGTCACTTTAAGATGTTTCTTGTTCATGTTTTTTGTTTGTTGCGGTTGCACCCGATTCAAGAGCCGAATGCCTCATAGGGCTACACCTAATAAATGAAACTGAAACTGAAGAAACTATTTTAATCTTAAGTACTTCTATGTAATTTGGGCACATTTAGTTCATGGTTGGAATGATATCGTGTAATATTTAATGTATAATATACCCATTTTTTATAATAATGTCTAATATTGCCAAACTATGGGGTTCAAGCTGTCAAATCTCCAGGCACACTGAGTAGAAGTGAAATAACCGTGCGCTGGTTACAGGGCCGTCTTGATCTCGCGGGGGGTTTCTTTGAATAACGTTTATCACCGTTATGTCATGCTACTTGTAATAGTCTTACAACAAATGTAACCACATCTCGTGTATATCGTATAGGCTAGTTGTCCATGCAACCTCTTATGGTTACATTTTAAATGTGTATCATTTAATAAGCTAAATAAAAACCTAATTCATGCAGAAGAAGAAGATACATTTAATGATTTAACAGAGAGCGATATGAGAGGGAATGCAGTGAATGGATTTTGGAAACCCTTGAAATGGAGAATCTCTGTAGAAAGAAATCGAACCAAAGTCGTTGTTTGACAATTATGTTTGATAACTCGTGGTACGTTTAAGCATGCAGGTCCTCCATAGAAGCCAGTAAACATGCAACGTTGGCCAATGTTGGCCCAATAACGTCCCACGTTTCCCGGGAAGTCGCTGGCTGTGTTGGTGTCGTGATTACCCCAGACACGAATGTATTTCCAGTCTCAGATGGAGCCAGGTCGAGGCACAGGACATCAGCTCCATGCCCATGGAAGCTCTGCAGGAGCTGGCCACTCTCCACGTCCCACAGTGCGCAAGTGCCATCTCCACTCGATGTCAGAATCTAACGCAGCCACACGAAGAAGAACCATCGCAAGAGAGCTCCACAACGTCCACGACGGAGCCACAACACTTAGACGCAACCTCGCAGCTGCAACACAGGTTTGCAGTTGCGATACAGCCTCTTTTTATATCCTTTATATTAAGTTTGCTTGCTTGCGTGCTTGCTTGCTTGCGTGCTTGCGTGCCTGCTTGCTTGCTTACGACCGTGCAAATCTTTCGGTCGTTTTTTAACCCACTTCCCGTGATCCAATCGAGCTGACGTTTTCCACACAGACTCGTTGTGACAGACAATTAATGTTCGTGAAAAAAAATTCCCAAAATTTTACACTTTTTAGGCAAAAAACAATTATTTTACATATATTCAAATAGAACTCATTCATGGCTTTGGCTGAACGTCACAGTGTAAGAGCCCAGAGCGTAACCCCTCCACAGGCCGTGGCGGAGTAGCGCAGTTGGTAGCGCCCTTGCTTCCCATGCCAAAGGTTGCGGGATCGATCCCCGCGTCCTCCACAGGCGAATATATTTTTAAATCCTTTATATTAAGTTCGCTTGCTTGCTTAGGACCATGCAAATCTTTTGCTCGTTTTTTAACCCACTTCCCGTGATCCAATCGAGCTGACATTTTGCACACAGACTCGTTGTGCGAGACAATTAATGTTCGTGAAATTTTTTTCCCTAAATTTTACACTGTTTAGGGAAAACAAATTAAATATTTAATTACCAATTGCTTAATACTGGCAGACAATCATCTGACCCATAGGTGGCAGCCATCTCAAGCCAGAGGACGAGAGGACTCTAGCTGCCACGCATATAAAGGATTTAGAATGAAAAACTTTGTTTTTACGGGTTATACTTATTTGTTTTACGATCAGAGGAAACAAGAAGATGCTCGGTGTAGTCGGCACTTTGCTTCTTTCATCATTTCATTTTTTTAAAGCTTGCTTTATGTTAACCCCCTCCCCCCTTGTTAAATGAAATATATCACAAAAGATTTCACGCTCCGCTCTCCTTACTCCTTCCCTCTCTACCCCCCCCCCCTCTCTCTACCCCCTCTCTCCCTACTCCATGCCCATGTTCCCCCTATGTTTCTATGTAATATTTGTAATATTATTTATATATATATGGCCTCAGTCAGGATACAGCCCAGTGGTCAGTGCACTCAGGGGGTACAGCAATGATGCTCGCATTGATCATTAATAAACGTAGAGTGACAACAGGGAAAAGCACACGTTGTTATTGTTGCTGCAATATGAATATCCTCATTTGAACTTCAGCAACATTTTGAGCTTTACCCAGGCAAAAGCAGCCTCGAAAATAATAACCAATTACTTTTTTACAGAGACATTATCTGCCGCTCTCTTTTTGCCAGTGTCCCCACCACTTAGCGGTTGTGGTGGCACTCAGCGATCACGCAGAGCGCCAGTGTAACAGGCTAAAACAACCCCTGCCCCGATTAAACCCGGGTATAGTTTGGCCCAGGCCAGAGTATACCCGGGGAGATAAAGTGTCCTAGGCTAAACTATACCCCCCGGGGGGTTAAACTAGACTGGGCCAGACCATACCCCCCCTCCAGTCCAGAATATGTCCCATGTGAAAGTTCAAAGGCAATTATCCATACAGAGAACAGCCGACAACGAACTTCAATCAATATATAAAAAGCATTTAAATGGAAGTAAGAATCTCAATTTGATCAATTGAAGCATTTTTCGGGATAGGGTTATTATTACAGTTTTTCTGGTTTAAGCAATCAAGGTCTATTTTAAATAAAATGTTGGAAAAATTTAGTAATTCATGTATATATCGCTCAACCCTATTACTATCATGGGGGTATGATTGGCCTAGAGGGGCATAATTTGACCGAGGCCATAATATACCCCAGAGTATAAATTGGCCTAGGCCGTTTTAACCCCGGGTATACTACGGCCTGTTACACCGGCACTACCGACACCACGTCCGCTCCCGCGCCACGCCTCTTGTGGCATCGCTTCCGTACCCGCACAAACCTACCGAAACTGCCCAACCGCTCATACCAAGATGTGTTGTGGTGTGATCCCTACTGTCTAGCCCTTACGCTGGCTTCTTCACTAGTCCCACCCCCCACTATGCATTGTTCTCCCCTTTGCAAAGCAGCAGTTAGATAAGGGGCCGTCCATAAATGACGTCACGCACCTAGGGGGTGGGGGGGGGGTCAGACATTTGTGACGATGTGTGACGAGGAGGGGGGGGGGTGAGAAATGTGACGTCACATCAAAATGCGCAACTTTAAATAAATATAGACAACACGTTCTACTTAAGTAAATAGACTTTTTAATAAATGTCTTCTCCTACAACATCAGAGTGCAGCGCCACATTAAATACGCACTACAATGACAATAGTTTAAAGCGATTTGAAGCATGTTTTATTTTTTTGGGGGGGGGGGGCAGAGCTTTGTGACGTCATATTTGAGGGGGGGGGCGTCTGACTTTTTGTGACGCCGTGTGACGAAGGGGGGGGGGGTCAAACATCGTCTAAAATCGCGTGACGTCATTTATGGACGGCCCCTAATGCATTCGTTTTGTGGAGAACCCCGACGACGTGAATTCAAGTTTCCACTCAGATTTTTCACAAGCTACCAATTCATGAATTTGACCCCTAACCTCAGCTGTCACCAACCACGGAAGTGTCTGAGCTCTGACTGGAGTCTGACTGGAGCGTGTTCTGACTCACAGTTGTGTATTTAGCAGCATAAATGTCCCCTGCGTCCCGGTTTTCTCCAGCATCACCGACTCTTGTATACTGTGAGTGATCTGCACCGAGTCTCCCAAATCTACGCATCAAGTGGCGGCACCTCGAGTGTGGTGTCCCAAGTGTATTTATCATCTGGGTGTCACAAACATCTCCAGCGTTTCGAGTGCATCCCAAGTGTCATACATTCATCTTCTGTTCTAGCTTCAATATATTGCCACGAGTGTTTCGGCACTACGAATGTAGAGTGACCGACGTTAGTGTTTTGAGTGCCTTGAGGCGGTTATGCGACCTTGACTGTCTGGTGCTGTGATGGTTACCTTGAGGAGGGTCACGTCTTCATTGTCTCCAGTGTCTTGAGTTTTCTAAAGGTCGTGTAATAACTCACCTGTTCGAGTTTGTACCTGCAATGCAGCTGCCGTATCACTCGTGTGTGTTTTTGAAGGCTTATTTCATGCTATGCCTACACTCTTTCGAGCTTACGCACGTGTTGTATATATGCTGTCATTAGTTTGAGCACTGCCTTGTGAGTGTTGCGTCATACTTTGCATGTTGAAAGTGAGTGTCATGAGTATCTCCATCCTGCAGCAGGCGTTGTATCAAGTGTGATATTTATTTTCATCGTCGTCAAACATGTCATGTTTTGCTTGGCCTGAGCTCATTCTGTTTCCAATGGCTCCAATGCGAGTGTTAAATAAAGTCGAAAGTTGATTTGAAGCTTTCGTGACTGCGGGAATTACTCTTTGGTTCTGTCGGTAAAGTCACGTAGAAATAAAATAAATACGACATTTCGATTGCAACACAAGCAATCGTCATCAGGTAGAAAACAAACCTAGTAAACTTAAAAAAAACAATGCAATACAACACAGAGAGTCGGCTAACACAACAGTCAACACCCTACCTGGTTGATTACGTTCTTCCAAAGATTGCTAAATTTGAGAGAGAGACAAAACACTGACACGGAGACACATAGACAGACACACAAGCAGAGAGAGAGACAACACAAAGACACACAGAAAGAGACACACACATAGACACACAGAGGGTGTTGACTGTTGTGTTAGCCGGCTCTCTGTGTTGTATTGCATTATATTTCTAAGTTTGCTAGGTTTGTTTTCTACCTGATGACGATTGCTTGTGTTGCGATCGAAACGTCGTATGCTATTATTTAATTTATTTTCTGTCTACGTGACTTTACCAAAAGAACCAAAGAGTAAAGTCGAAAGTGTTGTTTGCCAAATGTAATGGTAATACAATTTCAACTTGTAACCCACACAGTAGTCGATCATTCTTCAATCGAGAGAACGACTCAGAGGCGCGAGCAGCCACAGACAAGTAGGAAAAGGTGACCACGTGGTGAGCCAGCACCAACAATTAGCTCTGCGGTCCTCTATATATCAAGCTGTTTACACGTGGGAACCCAGAGAAAATACTCAATCCCATACAGATGGGACGAGTGAAGTTCACATTTATCCTGCACTGCATTCTTTTGGAAATCCAGGGTTAAGGCGCCTCCTCAGGAAGGGAGTTTCCAAACATTTATGCGATCCACCAACCATGGCCTCCACAGTGCTGGATTACAGGCGTTGCGCCTACCACCATCACGACAATTATCCTGGAAATCCCCGTGCTGGAGGTAGCCACAGTCACTTGGGCTGCACTTGAAGCATTAGGTGGCCATGTACCAAATAATACAAAATGGCCGAGGCAATTAATAATTATTTTATTTCTGGGACACTACTTTTTTCCAGGGGTGTACTTAACTTCGCGACTGGGGTACCAATCAATCCGAAATCAGTGCTACTCCGCGATGTCGAAATGCAGCGAGGACGATTGCGCTGAACCCCTGAACGCTCCTATGCACCAGTTGATCGGGTGGGATCTTGGTGATTGGGAATCCAGGTGTGGCACATTAGGAAAGGACCACTATTTTAATAAGTCCATATATGCTGTGCAGTACATAAATGCACGTGTGTACACCAGCATGTGATGACTGAGTTGGGCCTGTGGGGGGTTGGGCTGCCAGGGTTAATGATTAACCGGACGTGTACACCAGTCACGTGGTTAATGGCGACTCGGCTGAGGATTGCTGTGTGTGATACACGTGCTGTTGCATTCTATAGATTAACCACAATAAATGTGTTTGCCCTCAATTTGGAGCACCTGCCTAACGTCCTTCATTTCGAGTGTGCAACACAGGCATTTTCTGCCTTTCTCAGCACTCTCGATCAGACTGCATCACGGACATTACGCGAGAGCCGGGGTGCTATGGTACCCCGGAGTACGCAACTGGATGTGACTGCACGCGTAGCACCTGCATGTCGGAGTTGGTGAAGCAGCAGGCAGATAGGTAGTTTGTATGCATGGCCACGGACTTCTTCTTAGCTGCGAGATTTTCATTCTTGTCCATGCTCAGTGGGTAAACAGAGCACTTGTTGTCAAGGCCCCTGTCCATACAAAGACACAGAGCCACAAGAAAACACTTGCTAAAGAAGTATCAACGGCATCGCTAGATATTCAGTTTCAATTATATTTGCGTAACACTGATAAATCGTCTTCCATACAACTGGCGTGTGATTTATTTGTCAAACAACTGTATTTGGACACCTGCAGTTTGCCTCCAATGCTTGACAGCTTCGCCGAAAACACTGCATAGGTTTGGGGAACCCAGCCCCTTCCTGCTGTACTTCACATCATCAAGGTCTGGGGTTGGATTTCCGATTGGGCCACCTTTCTGTATGGAGTTTGTATGTTCTCCTCCTGGTGTGTGTGGGTTCCCTCCAGGCTCTCTGGTTTCCTGCCATAGCTATTAGAAGCATTTGATGTAACTGGTATTGGCCAAAAATCCAAATGATGAAAAAATATTGCCGGCAAATTACTCAATTAGGATTGCGCATTCTGTTGAAAAAGACTTGAAAGTCAAAAGGTTTTGCCGACGTGCTTGTGGATTCTGAGGGGTAATTGTCTGTGGGTTTGAGTTGGAGCCAGTTGATCTCTTATGCCATGAGGAGACCCCTCTACCAATCCAGCTACAATAGCTGTCAGTGTCAACCTGACTTAATCATCAAATAAAACAATGCCATTAAAGAAGAGGATTTTTTTTGTATTAAAAACCAAATATAACAATTCATTCTTTATTTAAAGTTATGCTTTTAATGATTTTTATATTCTGTAACGTCCAAATTAAAACGTGGGCCAGGTTTAAAGATGTAAAAACGAATTTCACGACACGAGTGCATTTATTTGAAAAGTGGTAACAATTTTTTTTATATTAGATTAACCCGAATGCATGACAATAAAAGCAGCATTCAGAATCCATAAAGGTTATTTTTAGTTAGATCGCGTAAATCAAGGCCGTAATTATAATATATATATTCAAATATGCTCAAAATCTCTCCCCCCCCCCCCCCCCCCAATATATTGCTATAAACAATATTTTGTTTTAAAATTGCTATGCTATGTAAATAAAAACAACAATTTGCTAAACCTTGGCCACAATATCTGGACTTGTCTTCATATTACAATGCATAGATTTCTGTTGATATGATTGTGGTTATGGTTGTACTTTATGAATCCCTAATCTCTGCCATTACATATAGTGAAACAAGAAAAGGTAAAAAAGTAAAAACAGAGCAATGTAATACAATACACTATTAGACATTATTGTAAAAAAAAAAATCCATCCCATGTGTTAGTGAATTCTTTAATATTTTAGGCAAGAAATGAGTTTTCAAATTTAGATTTTTTTTTTTTTCTGGGGGAGGTCGCTATGTGTCCACTGCGCTGGCGAGGTGTGGTGGTGTCAACAGCTGTGGCCACCATGACATCTTGAGCAGGACTCGTTTAACTACGAGCCGCTGCTTGCTCGCGATCCAGTGCCCACGTGACCACAAGTGGGTCGGTAGAAGAAACAAAACCAGATGAATGTCTATGTCCGCACCACCCCCTTGCTACATTAGTCCGCAATTTTTATGGGCATTTAATCCGAATGTAAATGTGTTGCATTAACCAGGCCATCGCTGTCCACTGGCACCCCGAATATAATCAAGAGCTGCCGGTATAAAAAGCTAGAGATAGTATCTCTGTAAGAAATAATTTCTTCTAGATTTCAGAACATGTTATAGCAATATTAATAATTAGCCGCACAATTGTAAAGGTATTGAACTATTATACTGTTGGCAGCACACCATAGCGGCTCTGGGATTCAGTTTTACGGGGTAATCAACTCGTCCCACGTGTGGCTGGTTATTTTTGTGCCTCATAATTGGAATATAGACTTGTGATGATATTATAATACAACACAGTGATGTTCTATTCAGTGCACTTCTATTTATGTGAAGCTGTGAAGTCTCCAAACGTGTCCATTTTGTGGTTGAATCTCTAATGAATACATAACTATTTCAGTCAATATTACTTCGAATTAATTACTTATCTCCACATATGTATACAAGGCAAAGTTGTGATTATGTGTGTCTGTTCAAAATGTTTAGTGTACTTCCCGACATGCAACAAACTGGAAATTTGCCATGTGGGTACTTTCCAGACTGTACACCATGGAAAAATTATAAAAATATACTTTTTTTGAGGGGGGGGGGGGGGAGCTCAATAATGCAGGTAATGTTTTGCACGGCAAGTGAGCTGTGACGTCAAATCTGTCACGTGACCCGCGCACGTGGAAGCGTAACGCATTGTGGCGTAGTGGTTAGCGCTACGCTGCGCTACGAACCCGGCGACCCGAGTTCGATTCCCGTTCACGGCCACCACTGGTGACGATAATTTTAACCGGTCCTGGGCCTCCCCTAGGTCGACTCAGCCTCAAAAGAGTAAGTGGTGTGGTGTGTGAACATCGCCACTGGGGAGACAAAGGTGGCCGGGCGTCGTGAATCCAAATCCCGGGCGAAGCTGGGTAGTACTACAGATAGTTCTCCATAAAAAAAACACCAATCAACGCAATCCACATCCACTACTGCAACAATTCACCACCAACAACCACCACAGAATTTGTACGTGGGAGATGAGGAAGTTGTAAAATATTCTTAGGTTTTTTTCGATAAAGTCACGTAGGTAAAACATCAAATTTATGAAAATAAAATAAAAATCACGACCTGATGACGGAGACTTGTGTTGCCTCCGAAACGTCGTGATTTTTATTTTATTTTATTTTCTTTAATTTTGATGTTTTACCTACGTGACTTTACCGAAAAAACCTAAGAATATGAATCATTGCAGTCACGAAAGCTTCAAATCTAGAAGTTGTAAAATATAAGAAGACACGTCATCGTGTATGCAGACTGTATCGAAATCATAAACATGGCCACATCGCCTCAACACTCCAGTATATCCACTGGCCCTAAATCCAAACTTGAATCAAGTTCAATATCAAAACGACCATCTTCAAGATCATCCATCGACTTGACTCTGCCTACCTCTCTCACACCATCTCAATCTACTCCTTTCCACACAAGCAGTGACGGCTCCTGCAAAATCTCTCAGGGGGGGCAAATGTCTGGATGATTGATAAGGATAAGGTCCACCCATGCAATGAATAAATTAACAGCTTAAGCATGTAAAGGCAACTTCACTTCTTTAATATTAATGAAAAATAAAGTGACTCTTACAATACATCTTGTTTGTTTATATACTCACTATTAAAACAAACCACTCAAGTTTATTTTATTAAAGATTCCACTAGGTAGCGATAAATTATATTGTTGGATGAAACGTGCTTACGTATGATGACGTTAGCACGTATGATGACGTAAGCACGTTAGTGCGAGCCCTCCCGGAAGCCATAGAGAATGCATTGGAGCGCCCCCGTTCGAAAAAAAACATCTTTCAATGTAAGTCTATGGGGCCACTCTGGGCGATTCTTAGCCGGAGTGAAATCGCCCCAAAAGAGGCGGTACTCCACAGAACGTGACATGACGCTGATTGGACTATATCCAGAGGCTGAGAGTGACGGCTAGCGTGACTCTGTGGTTGAATGACATTGGTGGTGCGTCGCCCAATCGCCCTAATGAAGAAACCGCCCCTGCACACAAGCTATACTCCAGCAACCAAGGCCTTCTGTAGAAGCCCTCAGTCGACTTTCACTCAGTGACGGGTCGCTGTTTCGCCTCTGCTTCTCTCATATGCTGTCAACTTCCCTGCCCTTGTTCAAATCCGTACACAAGGCTCTCTCTTTTTCTTTGCCCATTTCTGGGCCCAATTCATCTACAGTTTTGATACGTTTCAGTTAACCCTGAAAGTAGTGAGTGTTTACATGTGGGAGGAAACTGAAGGAACCTGAGAAAACCCGCACGTGCAAGGGGGGAACACTCAATCCCGTACAGAGTGGACTAGTGGAGTCCACATTTTTGCTGTAGTAGCTATACTAACTCTATAGCAGTGTGTACAGCTGTAGTAGTAGCTATACTAACTCTATAGCAGTGTGTACAGCTGTAGTAGTAGCTATACTAACTCTATAGCAGTGTGTACTGATGTAGTAGCTACACTAACTCTACAGCAGTGTGTACTGGCTGTAGTAGTAGCTATACTAACTCTATAGCAGTGTGTACAGCTGTAGTAGTAGCTATACTAACTCTATAGCAGTGTGTACAGCTGTAGTAGTAGCTATACTAACTCTATAGCAGTGTGTACTGATGTAGTAGTAGCTACACTAACTCTACAGCAGTGTGTACTGGCTGTAGTAGTAGCTATACTAACTCTATAGCAGTGTGTACAGCTGTAGTAGTAGCTATACTAACTCTATAATAATCATCTTTGGTTATTTCGGTTAAGTCACGTAGTTAGAAAACTCATTTTAAAAAGTGAACGAAAAGAATAATAAAATCTAAATACTAAAAAACAAATAACAATTAATGTAGACTGTAGCCTGGTTATTAATGGGAGTGAGTGTACTGGCAGTCTATAATGTAGACTGTATCAATGGTTATGAAGAACCAAGAATAAGTCTACATTTTCGACTGCCAGTACGCTCAGTCTGGTTAAGAACCAGGCTACTGTATACACTATAGACTGCCAGTACGCTCACTCAGTTTAATAACGATTGCTACAGTCTACATTATAGACTGCCAATATGCTCACCGAGGTGAAGAACCAGGCTACAGTCTACATTATAGACTGTTAGTACACTCACCCAGCTTAATAACCAGGCTACAGTCTACATTATAGACTGCCAGTACACTCACTCAACTTAATAACGATGGCTACAGTCTACATCATAGACTGCCAGTACACTCACCCAGCTTAATAACCAGGCTACAGTCTACATTATAGACTGCCAGTACACTCACTCAGAATTAAAACCATGCAACAGTCTACATTAGTGGTATTTATTTATTTAATATTGTTATTTTATACTTGTTAACTTAATTTTTTTTCATCTACATAACTTTAACGAACGAACCAAAGAATATGAATTCCTGCAGTCACGAAAGCTTTAAGTCAAAAATCTAAGTCAAGATTTAAAGATTTTTGACTTAAAAATTTCGTGACTGCAGGAATTCGTATTCTTTGGGTTTTTCGGTAAAGTCACGTAGAGCAATTTTTTTTACAAAAAACCGCGACGTTTCGATTGCAACGCAAGCAATCGTCTTCAGGAAGAAAAAATTAACCCGTAAAAACAAAGTTTTTCACTCTAAATCCTTTATATGCTTGGCGGCTAGAGTCCTCTCGTCCTCTGGCTTGAGATGGCTGCCACCTATGGGTCAGATGATTGTCTGCCAGCATTAAGCAATTGGTAATTAAATATTTTAAAAAAATTCCCTAAACAGTGTAAAATTTTGGAGAAAAAAATTCACGAAAATTAATTGTCACACACAACGAGTCTGTGTGCAAAATGTCAGCTCGATTGGATCACGGGAAGTGGGTTAAAAAACGACCGAAAGATTTGCACGGTCGTAAGCAAGCAAGCAAGCATGCAAGCACGCAAGCAAGCAAGCGAACTTAACTATAAAGGATTTAAAAAAGGAGGGGAAAGCTGCTGAGGCAGGCTGTTTTAAAGGTCTGAAATGGGTGTAGCCCAAGGATCATAAACGAAGTGGGCGGGGCTAGTGATGTTAAAGTGATAAATTAGTAAGATCGGAGGGCGACTTCCACATCGAAGTCGCCCTCCGATTTTTTACCTGTTAAGGGGCCGTCCATAAATGGCGTCACGCGATTTTGGACGATTTTTGACCCCCCCCCCCCCCTTCGTCACATGGCGTCACAAAAAGTCAGACGCCCCCTCAAATATGACGTCACAAAGCTCTGCCCCCCCCCCCCCAAATAAAACTTGCTTCAAATCGCTTTAAACTATTGCCATTGTAGTGCGTATTTAATGTGGCGCTGCACTCTGATGTTGTAGGAGAAAACATTTCTTAAAACGTATATTTAATTAAGTAGAACGTGTTGTCTATTTTTATTTAAAGTTGCGCATTTTGATGTGACGTCACATTTCTCAAATCCCCCCCCCCTCGTCACACATCGTCACAAATGTCTGACCCACCCCCCTAGGTGCGTGACGTCATTTATGAACGGCCCCATAATGTAAAATCAGAGAGTAGATAATAACAACTAACATCGGAAGGTCAGGATGGAAACATCACAGCCAGTTATGACTTAAACTCGTTAATAACGTCCTTCCAATGATTGTCAGTTTGTACCCATCCTCTCGGTTGAAATTGTGTCTGTGTATTATTTATATCTGGATGGCTTCATGAACGAATCTTTGTTGATAGCCAGTGGGTTTGCAAAGTACCTTCGTCGTGGAGAAATCAATTTCGTGTGAGCCCACCGCATTAAAACAATGATCAGCCACGGCCGCAGGTATTGGTCCTTCCGTGTTTCAGATCTGCCTTGTGTTCACGAACACGGTCCGAGACATGTCGCTTAGTTCCCCCAATGGAACAAGACGGGCACGGACCACACTGCGCATGTGACGCATCGAGGGGGGTGAATCGCAAAGTTCGTGGAAGTGCAGATCATGGGGCGGTAGGGGGGGAGTGTAAATGCACCCAGTCCGGCCATCCAGTACGTTTGCTACATACAAGTACGAGGTGAGGCATGCGAACACGACGCGTAAAGTTGGCCGCCGAGGCCGCCGTCCATACCTCTCCACTTTAATTCTAGATTTGAAACTTTCGTGACTGCAAGGATGCATACTCTTAGTTCTTTCGGTAAAGTCACGTAGGTAAAAAATGAAATTAAAATTAATAAAAATAAAACAATTAAAATCACGACGTTTCGGAGGCAACACAAGTCTCCGTCATCAGGTGGGACCGTCACAGCCAGATTTGCTGCATCAAGTGAAGTAACTGGTACTTAAGAGCTTACATCCTTAATCCCTCCTTCACTTGATGCAGCAAATCTGGCTGTGACGGTCCCACCTGATGATGGAGACTTGTGTTGCCTCCGAAACGTCGTGATTTTTATTGTTTTATTTTTATTAATTTTAATTTCATTTTTTACCTACGTGACTTTACCGAAATAACTAAGAGTACCTCTCCACTTTGTAGCGGCTCGCTCGCCGTGCTACAAACCCAGCGGCCCGAGTTCGATTCCCTGCTCACGGCCAACACCGTTGACGATTAATCATCTGAACCGGCCACGGCCTCTATGAGTACCTGGTACGGCGTGCAAAGCTCGCCACGAGGGTGCGGTGCTGGCCACCCACCCCCTCGTGTGCCGTGTCGGCCTTCATAGGTGCTGCTCGCTAACAGCAGCGCTCGCCACAACAGTCTGCTGTTAGGCGTCACGTTGGCCCGAATAGGCGATTGCGAACGGCACGTTGCGTTTAAGGGAAGATGAGACTCCTATGTTTTTGTGTGTGAGCGTGCGTGGGGGTGGAGGGAGACGCAGTCCAGTGGGAAGTGCACTCACATCACACATTCACTGGCCCGACTTCGATTTCTGCTCACGAGCAATAACAGTGGCGAGTATTTGAACCGGATCTGAGTGCCTGGTGTGGTGTGTAAACATCAGGCCTGGGGAGACAAATGCGGCTAGGCATGGGGCTGGCCACCCACCCCCTCGTGTTTCATAGGCGCTTGCTAACAGCACTTGCCCAGACAGCCTGCTAAGGGCTCTGGGGGGGGGAGGGTCTTTGTCGTGTCGAGGGAGAGGTATGGAGTGTGTGTGTGATGGGATGGTGTGTGTGTGTGTGTGATGGTGTGTGTGTGTGATGGGATGGTGTGTGTGATGGGATGGTGTGTGTGTGTGATGGGATGGGATGGTCTGTGTGTGTGATGGGATGGTCTGTGTGTGTGATGGGATGGTGTGTGTGTGATGGGATGGTGTGTGTGTGTGGGATGGTGTGTGTGTGATGGGATGGTGTGTGTGTGATGGGATGGCGTGTGTGTGATGGTGTGTGTGTGTGATGGGATGGTGTGTGTGATGGGATGGTGTGTGTGTGTGATGGGATGGGATGGTCTGTGTGTGTGATGGGATGGTCTGTGTGTGTGATGGGATGGTGTGTGTGTGATGGGATGGTGTGTGTTGGGATGGTGTGTGTGTGATGGGATGGTGTGTGTGTGATGGGATGGTGTGTGTGTGTGTGTGTTGAGATGGTGTGTGAGTGTGTGTGATGGGATGATGTGTGTGATGAGATGGTGTGTGTGTTGGGATGGTGTGTGTGTGTGTGTGTGATGGGATGATGTGTGTGTGTGTGATGGGATGGCAGGTGTGTGTGATGAGACGTGTGGGTGTATTGAGTGTGTGATGGGACGTGTGTGTGTGTGTATTGTGTGTATTGTGCGTGTGTGTGTGAGTGTATATTGAGTATGCTCACCCGCAGGCAATGGCGCACCCAGACGGAGCGTACGCGCACGCCATGACCCACGTGCATGGCATGGTGACTGCATGCTCCTGTTGGCACCCACACATGCACATACACATGTAGGCATTGGCACAAACAGCACGTAGACACATTATCACGCGTGCACATACCCATACGCGTAAATCAATACGCGTGCATTATCACTGGCACAGGTAAACAAGAAAGCAACGTAGCCTTAACAGACTGTAGGGGCAAGTGCTGTTAGCGAGCACCTATGAAGGCCTGAACGGTACACGAGGGGGTGGGTGAACAGCACCACGCCCGACCGCCTTTGTCTCCCCAGTGGCAATGTTTGCACACCGCACCAGGTAGTCATTTGAGGCTGAGTCGACTTAGGGGAGGCCCAGGACCGGTTTAGATAATCGTCACTGGGTGTTGGCCGTGAGCGCGAATCGAACCCGAGTCGTTGGGTTCATAGCGCAGCGCGCTAACCGCTACACTACCGCTCCCCATTAGCTGCACGCACACGTATACACACTACCGCTCCCCGTATATACACACACATCTATCATCGCCTCCGTCTCCACTGCGGGCATTGCCTTTGACGGAGTACCTTCTGTAGCTGCCACTCCATTGTTACTTGCCAATGCTGGTTATCATCCCTTCTCGCGGATGATTTTTTGTAAAAAAAAAAATTCATGAGGCTCATTGGTGTAGATTGCAATCCAAATCCGAAGCTCTCCGTGGCCTCGCGGTGTGCTGGGAAGTAGACGTTGCCCGAAACGTCGTCTATTATTTGCATTGCCCTTTTAAGGCCACAGTTTTATTAACGAATGCGTTGATTTTTTTTTACTTTTCTTAACAATCAATATATTTCTTACTTGCCTGTTTTCTTTAATTTAAAATGTGTGGGGGAGGGTGGTGAAGTGAGGCATTGTGGGAAGACCCCCCCCCCATGTCTCCCTCTCTCATAGTCCCCATGTGTCCCTGTGCCCCCCCCTCCCCCGTGTCCTCCCTCCCCCTCGTCCCCCCTCGTCCCCCCCTTGTGACATCTGTTAAATAGCTTTATAACTCATCGGATTCCTCCAGTCTAAAATAAAATTTGCACAACTTTCAGCTTTCATGCAACTTTCTCTCTCAACGTCCACGTTCCCGATCTAGGAAATTTTTATCTGTTGCTTATAATGATTAAAAACGGTTACCTCGTGACCTACAATTGGTACGTTAAATATCTCGAATTGGCCTGTAATTAGCATTGCCCTCCCTGTATAATTTGGACCGCACCTTGGACCTCACTAGCCCATGGAAATGTGTTACATTTGTTTAGACACAGACTTCTCTGAAAATCTGTTTGTTCCACGTCCATTTCAGAGAAACGTTCTTAAAAAAAATATTCCTTGTTTAACGTCTTTGCTGACTACACATTCTAGAATATGCAAACCTCTCTCATTCCTCACTCCAATGTTGAGATTGTCAACCATCCTTTCATCTCTGAACCATGAGCTACTTTTAAAGTCAATAGTTGCCCTATATCTGTTGAATGTGTCTGTAAATAATTGTAATTTTACTATGATCAGTAAAAAATAATCTCCCCTAGCCGACTGACTATGCTGCAATGCATTGTGAGCTCGTTGAGTATTTGAGTGATGTTATTTCAGGCATTTCATCTCCTCGCTCATCCTCATCATGGCTTTGTGTCGGAGCATACACTTGAATAATGGTTGTCTTTTGAGAGCCTTAGTGTGAGTCCGAACAACTCTTGAGACGGACAACTTTATTTACATTTGACAACGATGCTATCAAACTCACTGCCCAATATAAAATTACCGTCAATTCTCCTCATGGGGGGCTACTTTTGATGCAGGAAGTTTGGCTGTGACGGTCCCACCTGATGACGGAGACTTGTGCTGCCTCCGAAACGTCGTGATTTATTATTTTATTTCTATTATTATTATTTTTACCTACGTGACTTTACCGGAAAAAACCTAAGAGTATGAATCCTTGCAGTCACGAAAGCTTCAAATCTAGAATTAGCCCACTCTGTATGAGTGTGGAGTTCCCCCATTGCCTCTCGCATTACAAATGCCAACTAAGACCCAATTTATTTATTCCAATTCCGTCTCCAGTTCAACAGAGTTTGATTCAGCAGGTAGAGTCGACGGTCATTCGAGAAGGCGACCTGTTCTTAGCCAGTGATTCGTGACATCCCTCACTGCCTACCATGCTGCCGCCCTGTTGGCATCGCAGCAGAGTTGCACGTTATTCTTTGGTTCTTTCGGTAAAGTGACGTATAAAGATAAAATAATAAATTAAATAATAGCATACTACGACGTTTCGATTGCAACACAAGCAATCATCATCAGGTATAAAAGAAATAGCAACAAAAATCTAACCAGAAACACTATAGACAGACACACAACATGCAAATTTTTTCTCTGCCCCCTCCCTCTCTCCGCCCCCGCCCCCCTCTCTATATTTAAGGCCCCGTCACAGAGACGACCTCTCTCTTTCTGCCGATACGTGTTCTCTCTCTCTGTGTGTCCTTATGATGTCTGTCTACTTGTGTTTCTGTCTATAGTTTTCTGGTTAGATTTTTGTTGCTATTTCTTTTATACCTGATGATGATTGCTTGTGTTGCAATCGAAACGTCGTAGTACGCTATTATTTAATTTATTATTTTATCTTTGTACGTGACTTAACCGAAAGAACCAAAGAATAATTCCTGCAGTCACGAAAGCTCCAAAATTGAGTTGCACGTTACTCAAGAAAGGCGTTTCAAGCGGCACTTCCAATGGGAGATACGCGTTTTTTGGTTTGGCCATGTTTGTTTGTTGGAGTACGGAGTTAGACTGATGGCCTTAATCTAAGTTGTCTTGTGGTTGTTGTTTGACTTGCATCCCACTGGGATTTTTGCACACAGCGTTGGTGTACGGTGCTTTTTTCTGGAATATTTTGCTGTTTTTTTCCTGGATTTTCTGTTTGCACTTAGTCACATAGTCACTTTAAGATTTCGATTTAAAGCTTTCGTGACTGCAGGGATTCATCTTCTTGGTTCTTTCGGTAAAGTCACGGCTGCTTGCGTTGTGGCCGAAACGTCGTGAGAATTATTGTATTATGTTTTATTTTTATTATTTTATTATTATTCATTCTACGTGACTTTACCGAAAGAACCAAGAAGATCACTTTAAGATGTTTTCTTGTTCATGTTTTTGTCTTTTGTTTGTTGCGGTTGCACCCGATTCAAGAGCCGAATGGCTCACAGGGCTACACCAAATAAATGAAACTGAAAACTGAAAAAAACATGCGACCATACTTCACCACGCTGGTCAACACGAGCTGGTGAGGATATCCCCTCCCAACATGGGGGACTCAGAGGGCACCCAACCACGTGGAAATGATCCCCAGCCCACGGTTACCACGCAGCCAATCACACGGTTCACACAGCCGTCGTGATTACGCTGACAAAGACAAAGCTATACAACGGTGTAATTATATCCTAATGACCTCTTTCATTCACACTACCTCGAATCTCATTGAATATTGTATCTAAAAACAGAACTCTTAATGTTACCGTCGGTAGTAAAGAGAGCCAATGAGAAGCTGCAGATAACCACGATGTCAAGTAACGAGTGGCACGGCATTGGTTACAATATTACGATACTTGGACGCGTATGACGAAGCACTTTAAAATGCATCTTTAACAAGCACTGTGAAATGGAAAAGACAGGTTTATACTAGTAGGAACCTCCTGATTACACCAGCCCACATGAGATTATTGTGTCCGTCCGTCGTGCAGAGAGGGGCTGGGTGGGGAGGGGAGGGGAGGGTGGGGAGGGGCTGGGTGGGGAGGATGGGGCTGGGTGGGGAGGGTGGGGAGGGGCTGGGTGGGGAGGGGCTGGGTGGGGGTGGGAGGGGTGGGGCTGGGTGGGGATTCGGGCTGGTCACCCCGTGGTGCCCTTATAAAACTCAACGTTTAACCTACTCACGCCGGCTTGTGCCCGCCCTCACAGTCGGGCATATTTGCGGAATACACCACGCCGCCGTTGACCCTGGCCATTGACCGAGCAACCCAACGTTCCTACCAGCTCCCTCCGCGGGAATGTGTTAGTCTCAGCCTGGAACAGGTGAAGTCGACATTTTGCTTCACCGCCTTTGCCTGTAATTCCATGGCTGTGGCTCCTTCCTCGTCGCCCGTGGAAAGGGAGTTTCACAACATCTGTGCGATCCACCAACCATGTCTTCCACAGTGCTAGACTACAGGCGTGCGCCACCACCAACACCACTCAGCAAATAGAAAGTTAAAGAGTCGCTTTACATATATGCCCACAACAACAAAACCTCCAGATTCCCGTGCCATTGTTTACATGCATGCTCCGGAGTGGCTGGAGCATATACCAGAACAGCATAGAATAAGACTCAAGAAGAAGGATCGTGAAATCAGGTTGCTTGAACTTGCAGCAGCAATGCATTAGCTCTCTGTAAAATACAGTTTTAGCAGAAGTCTTGCAAGCCGACGTGACAGGGCGTTGACATCGCCCAGTGGTAGCGCAGTGGCCGCTTGCTGCAGAGATTCGCGGGCGTTAAATGTTCCCTGATGTCATTCGCAAGAGGAGGCCACAGAGGGACACAACTAAAAACGCAGCATCTGTTGGGCAGCTATTGAAGGTGGACAAAAATCTAAATAATATGATAAAGAGGCAGGAAAACTGAACTTGATGATGAAAGGGAACATAGCAAACCAGCCGGAAGAAGAATGTTGTTGATCGGTGCGTACTACCTGCTACGGCATACGGCTCAGAAACACAATGGTTAACACACACATATATAGAAGAAAGAAAAGTGTGCAAAGAGGCATGGAGAAATCCATCCACGGGATTACATTGAGAATCAGAGAGAGAGCAACACGTGGATTAGTCGGCAGGTTACTGACATCATCCAAACGATTAAGAAAAATAAGCCGGCTTGAACAGGACATGTCGCTCGACATGATGATGGACGATGGTCAAGAATAACAACGGACTGACAGCCAAGGGATGGAATACGTCCATGACACGGCCAGCGAGGAGATGGAGTGATTAAATAAGTTCATGTGCAAGTGCTGGATGGATTGTTTATTTTATGAATACAACTTTGATAAATATAGTATTCACATAACCACAAGATAATGTGTGATTTATTTATAGATATTAATGTTACGTCAAATGATGCATTGTTTTTGCAAGTCTACTTTGTAATTAGTTAGATCCTTGTTGTTTTCAAGCTTAAAATAATATTATAATATCTGAACGCTGTCCGTATACAGGCATAATCCCGGTTTACGCCCAGGATGCGTTCCCGAAGACCAGAATGTAAATGGAAAGTACTTAAATACAAGCAAAGACATCGGATGGCGGATCGTAACGTGGTACAGTACCTAAACAGAGGATGCTCAGTAACCCATTGCATATCGATTAATTACAACCATCATTGGTATGTTAAAATATTTCCTTTTCGATTATACTGTACGTACTATTAGTTGTTTATCATGTGAAAAACAGTTTACGCTTGTCGCCATAAATACGGTATGTGCGGGGAAAATAATACGAATCGAGTATGTGCACACAGGAAAGAAACGACTCTCGTCAAGGGATGGTCATGCTGGGGGCACCACCTGGCACCCGCTCGTTGCCGTGCAGCATAAAAGAATTTGGCTCTTCGTGGTAAGGTTCGTAAATCTCGAGTACGCTGTGGTGAGGTGCACAGTACGTAAAACGGGACTGGGCATCAATAAGTTTAGGACGTTACATCGAAAGAACGTAAAACGTGGAGGCTGCAAATCGGGGTATTGCTGTGTATATAGTCTGATTAATTATTTTTGTAGATACAAACAATATTCATGTTCTCACCTTGTTGGTGGTAAACGCATCCCACACGATCACCTTCCCATCCTGGAGGCAGAGAAACAAGCGTCAACACATGTCCCGCACAGGTGACAAACGCCACGAATCGGCGCTCGTAGCGTCAGTACTCGCCCTTGCTCAGCGACAGGTCTTGCGGAATTGTCCATTTGCCAGGTGGGGTGGTACATGACAAGGCTGTCACCAGCCCGTACTCATCGGCACGATGCAGTGTGGTTGAATAATTCACGGGGCCAACACGCCGTGCCCAAGGCTTCTTCCGACAAAAGTGACAACACGATGATGATGATAATAAATAATCACATTGCCTTAATGTGTCATTTGCACTTTAAAATAACAATAATAAATCCATTGGAAGCCTCACTGAGTTTCAAGACTTTTGAAGAGGGCCTCGTTAGATTGAGACATTTGGTAAACTCCAATAATGATGAGTGCTAAGCGTCCTCATGGGTGAAATCGGAAAACTCGGAGCAAACCCTCCACAAAGGGGGGGGGAGGTGACATTCACTGACAGATTTAAGAATCCATTGCTGTGTTTCCATCTCCTGGCTACCTCACAGCAAGGCCCAACCCTACAGCACCTCAACTGTTCCCGAGCAGTCTCCCATTCTAATTCTAACCTGGCCCAACCCTGGCAGTGCAAATAAAAAAAACACATTTTTTTTAATTGCACATCCATGTCACGGAAGTGAGCCAAAATGAAGACAACGAAGAGAATTGATGGCAGTCACACGATTTAAAGCATTCGTGACTGCAGGGATTCATATTCTTGGTTCTTTCGGTAAAGTCACGGAGAATGGAAACAAGTCACGTATAAGGGAAACAATAAAATAATCACAAAAAGCTTGTGTTGCAGTTGAAACGTCGTGAGAATTGTATTGTTTTATATTTTTATTATTCTATTGTTTCCCTTCTACGTGACTTTACCGAAAGAACCAAGAATATGGCATTCACATGGTGAAGTGTTTGGGTGACCAGAGTCTTTGTGGCGCTCCCTGGTGACCAATGAATGGTTCCTCACCTGGGAGGAGCTGACGAGTCTCCGCTTGTCCTTGCACCAGTCCATGCACAGAACTTTGTTGCCGTGCCCTTTGAGGGTGCGACGCGTCTTCATGACAAACTGGCCCAGCGCCTCCACTCGCTCGGCCACCTGGTGAACTGCACGCGCGTGGGCACAATGCCGTGGTGTGGATGCAAGGAGTGAAGAACGTGTGAGCATGTGAACATGCGCAAGATGACACAGACAGACATGGGCCGGCGCTCAACACGTCCACAAGCTGAACTACAAGAAATAACTCACTGTATTCGAGGCCACGCGTTCCGTAGTGCACGAGATCGTCGACTTGCCAAGCTGTACAAACATATCCTAACGCCGTACATGTGGGTACGTGTATGAAGATCAGTTACATAAGGTGCAATTGTACAAATACAGGCAGATACAAATTGACAAATTACACGGGCAAGAGTGTTTATTCGAGACGAGTCTAGATTTGGGGCTTTTCTAGGATTCAACAAATCCAAATCTGTGGTCAAAGCTGCGCACGGGCAGAGCTGCTGCCATGTCCCTAAAGCGTAACACTGGGATACAGGAGAGGCAAATTCGATGTTCAATTTACATTCCTAAAGTTCTAAAATAACATAATAACCGCAGAGACAAATAGGGACATTTGTGGTGCTAGCCAAGGCCGTAGCCATGGAGTCAGCATTCGGGGGGGACCAAATCTTCCAGGGTGTCTGGGGGTCCCAACTCATAAAAAAAGTACATTTCAAAACTCATTTCCTGCCTAAAATATTTAAAAATTCACTAACACATGGGATGGACTTTTTTTAATTTTTGTTACAATCATTTTTGTTACAATAACGGCAGCCAACGAACGTGACGCGCGTCCACGGAGAAGATGGAACGCTGAGATCAGCTCGTGTACAAGTGGCTGGACGGAGTGTTGCATCGCAGGATCGTGAGAGGTGGAGATGGCTTGGGGAGGCCTTCATCCAGCAGTGGATTGACCACGATGTTCACAGACTGCGCGATGAATCCGGAGACTCAAGTTTAGTTTACCGCTCACGGCCAACATCATTGTTGGTTATCTGGACTAGTCATGGGCTTCCACTAGGTCGATTCAGCCATAAACGAGCACCTGGTGCGGTGTGTGAACATCTCCACTAAGGAGACAACGGCGTGGTGCTGGCTAAAACACCCTCTCATGTGCCGTGTCGGCCGTAATAGGCACTCGCTAATAGTACTTGTTTCAGCAACATGTGGAGGCTACACAGGGCGTCTGCGTCTGTGTGATTGTGGACAGGAGTGTGTGCCACGAACACCTACAGTTACACAACGTAACGTGCAATGCATCCAGCAAAAAAAACCTTGCATTTTTTTGGTTTCTAGAGGTGAATGCATACCTACAGACCGATATCTATAATACATTCGCACATACGCACAGGGTTTCTGTTTTTTTTCAGGAGGTTTTCATAAGGTTGGCGGCAAGGCGAATTATTCAGATAACCGGACAAGGGCTCCCTGCTATTAGCCCGACTGGCCAAGGCGTCCTTCCACATTTACCTCTTGCAAAATCACTGAGCAAAACACTGATGCATAATGCACCACAACAAATGCATTGGGAGAGCAAGAGTCAAGTTTGTGGAGGGTACGTTGTCTGTTCCGTTATGTGTATTCACCAGCATGCCACGTGAGCTGGGTGAGAATACAATAACACGTGGCGCGTATCCGCACCTGAGGCCCCAGACACGTGCAGCCTCGTGTCTCCCTGGACCGGAACCGCTTGTATAGAGTCAAGGGAGACCCAACGTTCTTGAGGTGCCATAAACCATCTAGCGCCTGCACGTGAGCCGATTTCATCGCTCAAATCTCCCCGGCGAACGTCGCTTCAGACGTGTTCGCCTCCTTCGGCTGCCACTCCGTTGTTAGTCTCGACCACCGGCAGTGGAGGTAGTGTTGACATCGTTCGTTATTCTGTTGCGACGCACTGACCGTCTTGGGGGCCAGGCTTCATGAGTACACCAGGCACTCTGACAGAGTACGTGTACAGCAGCACGGAGAGGGGATTGTTGCTACTGGGTGGTGGTGGTGGCTACGCTGCACGTGGCCTGTAGCCCTGCGCCGCGAAAGACAGCGAGAATTGGTGGATCGCACAAATATTGCCAAACGAATTTCGCACGGGTATCAAGGTGCCATACTCTGGCACCTTGATGTGCATCTCGTATCATCCGCCCCTTCTGTACGGGGATCAAGTGTTGCCCCCTCACATGTTTGGGTTTTCTCCGGCCACTCCGGTTTCCTCCCACATGTACAAACGCTCATTAAGTGGCTGGACACATCTTAATGTGAACCTTATGGCGGGACCCCGGGGTCCCGAATAAACGGAAGTCCAAATCGTAATTAATTAATTTATTTTTGGCGACTCTATCCCACCACGCACATAAACGCCGAGACCCATCAGAACTCAATCCTCTCGTTCTTCACCAAGCACCAGTCGTTGCCAAAATTGCCGTAGGTCAGAAACACAACTTTGAAACTTTGATTGGCGCAGCGTGCGGAGCTCGTCGAGAGGAATAGATCGTCGTGTCGTTCGCCTTCGACAGAAATAAAATGACGTCGCAAGGCAGTTTCTGCGAGAGCCGGGGGCTTGTGAGACCCCGGGGTCCCGCCATAAGGTTCAATGTGTGGACGACCGGACGACCGCCCTGCCGCCTTCCAGCTTGCATGACGTTGCTCAGCGACTGTGAGAGTCGCAATTCGCACGAACGACGGGTGCACACAACTGGGACACACGCTCGTCGTTAGCAGTGGCGAGGCATGGGCGCCGCCGCGTGTTCGCCGCGAGTGCCTTGGGCATCGCGGAGAAGAGCCAAGTGCCAGAAACGCCGAGTGGGAGTGTCGTGACTAATCCCAAATCGGCGGTGTTGATCGCGAGCCGTGCACGACTTGGCGGCGGAAGCCGCAGAGTCCGACACGCAACGGGCCGACCCAGTAAATTTGGCCGTTCGTCAAATTGGTATTTAAACTCGACAAGGAATAGCAACGGCGAGATCACAGCAGTGGCAGCAATTCAGTATGAAGAAACTACCGAGGCAAGGCCCAGTGGGTCAACATTTACAATGAGTACAAGTACTAACAATCCTATGTCAAATGGGTACATAGTACCTGTTAACGGGCACTGCTGCGTAATATTACACAGTCCATACAGTTGTATAACACGCACTACACTTCTACGCACATATATAACGCATACAAACACTTACGCACTTATATACACACGCACGCACACACTACAGAGACACTTAAAACGCTCCCACTTGTAGTTAGCACGCTGCACGACATATTAGGCAAACACGCTCACCACCAATAACAGTGGCGAATATTTGAACCGGTTCTGGGCCACTTATAGGTCGACTCGGCCTCAAATTGTTCTCTGTGTGCAATCTGGGGAAACAAAGGTGGCCGAGTGTGGTATTGGCGACCCACCACATCGTGTGCCGTGCCAGCATTCATAGGTGCTTGCCAAGAGCACTTTCCCGAATGGTCTGTTAAAGACGATACATTTACACACAAATACAGGTACATTTACACACACATACAGATACATTTACACACACACAGATACATTTACACACTTAAATACAGATACATTTACACACACATACAAAAATGCACATAGCAATCCCGACATGCTATTCGCAAGGGTAAACGATTTCGCCATATGCGGTTAAATATTTTCAATTCGAATTTAGGAGCAGAGACCTTCTAAACGTAATGGAGGCGAGCGCTTTGACATTTGCGAGAATAACAGATCATCTACCACAAAGACGTACACGACTTGAAATTAACAATTTGTGGGTTCGGGTCGGATCGGTCAAATAGTGCCACCCGTTTGCCGGACTTCACTGTGGCGTCGTCACCCAATAACGCTGCTGGATGGACAGTGGCGTGGGGGGGGGGGAGATTTAAGAAGCGGTTCCCCGTTGTTTAAATTGCCACCCCCGGGAGATGGGATCCAACGGGCGAACTTTGGATTGCAAGTCGGTTTCGCAGTTAAAGCTGTGAAACATTTACGCTGAACATTGTCGATATAAGTGGCGAACCGATAACTCGTTATTCACCGATGTTTTTCATTTGGTTACCGGTGATGAAAACGTGCCGAGTGAAAACAGCCTCGTTACGGCGCGCGGCGCTCTGCAGACAATGTGCTGTTTCATTGTGCTCGTTCAAAGTGAATGATTTCTTTGGTCAGCGGGGTAGGAGAAGTTAAGCACAGATGACAGCCACTGCGAAAGGCAACACGCGGAGTTTTACGTCGTCTTTGCCTGACTTTTGTTGTCATTTGAGATCACGGAATCTTCACTTGCCAGAGAAGAATCAACCTATCTACACATTTGAAACAATCTCCCTGGGGCAAAACTACATTATACGTGACGTAAACAGTGGCGTGCAATCTGCTTCCTTTTAATCTGTAACCCCCATAGTGGGTGTAAGTATAGCATTCCTCAAGTAAAAAAACGTATTATTGATGTGATACTGCGTTGGCAGTGGTGCACAAGCACAATTAACAAACAAAAAACTCAACGCATTTGTTAACAGCACTGCCTTATAATAATAATGGCCCTTCTTCACGTTACATTAACGGTTACATTCGGAGAATCACACGCCTAGCTTTTTGCCAAAGCCTGGCTCCACATTATAGACCCGTGTCGTTCAGTACAGGGGGAGCCCTTTACACGAACAATAGCCTTTAATGAAATAGCAACACACAGCGGAGCAAGCGCCCAAATCAGTCAAGGTCACGCCACCTACACCCAAGGGTGAAACGCTGGAGGGAATGCTGTCAGACGCTAGAAATGTTCTCACTTTCAGCAAGGCAGCTGTAATTTTAGACACTCAGATTACGCAGCCGTACACATATACTGCACACGTGTTCTAAACAGTCTCCCAAGTGCACTCGTGTAACCAGTGCACGTACCGTCATCTCAAACGCACGCTACTCGCGGTTACTTTCAATTGTTTACAACTGCGATGTGGCGAACCACAACCAACCAATCGCGGCTTGTGGCAGCAGAATGCCCATTTAAAGTCGCGTCCTGAACACGAGCAACGCTGAGAGCGAGCAGGGATCGTAGGCCCTGACCCGGGGCGCGCCACGGGCACCACCCTCCCCACGGCCGGCACCATCGCCGCCGTCTCTCCTGCAGTTGTGGTGCTGCTGCCGGGCGCGACTCACGTTCCACGTCGTGCAACTTGGCCCTCTCCTCCTCCAGTTTGATCTTGAGGTTCTCCGCCTCTCCCTGCAGTCCGTCGATGGTCTCATTCTCCTGCAGCCCTTCGGAGGCCATCTTTCCGGCGCACGAGCACCCACGAGCACGCAGAGGCCGCAAAGAGAGGCGCAGTGACTACACTCAGTCGACGCTTGCCAGGATAACGATGGACGGACGAAATGCGGCACCGCAGCAACACGAGGATCGCACACGAACGCGGCGGACACACGGCCAGAGATGCGGACCGGCGCGGAGAGACCCTAGGGAGCACAGCCAGAGGCAGGCGAGCGCCGCAGGTAGAACATGAATGAGTGCGTCTTCGCGTTGCCACTCTCCGTATACGGACGGCACAGATTAATAGGCGAAGCCTTGACGAGATTTTCGGGATCGCTATTATTTCCGAGTTGTTAACCGCCTGCCGGTATCTTGCCTTTGCCTGCTCTGGCGATGCGTAACCGGAGCTGGGCGAATGTGTACGCTAGCGGGCCGCCCGCATCTCTCACTGTAATACAGTGAGAGCGAGAGGCACTGGAGGCAGCCCATGGGTTGTGCTGCAATGCGCGACCGCACCACGCGGCGGTCGCTGTCCGCGGTGCTGAAGGACGCACGGTGATGCACGATGTCCCACGGGGCGCCCGCTGGTTCGCGGTGCTACGCTCGCTGTGACTACGCTCGCCTAAGACCGTGGTTGTCGCTGGACTTTAAGAAGGGCGTCGCTCACGGAATGAGAACACTTTACAAATGCTGTGGCTTCCCTCTGGATATCCGTCCACCTATTACTGATTTACAAAAAGCCCCCGTCGTGTGAATAATGCAACTGTTTTAACCGTGTGTGTTTATGTTAGAAATGTATTGGGGAAGTCAACATCGCGATGATTCGATAACGGAAAACGTGTACGCAACGTGCCACGATGGGGCGCAAAGGACTCTCATGTTGAGGCGTGTATAATGATATCATTACAGTACATTTCAAATGTTCCCACTAAGCATGTCGTTTGCACAAAAACCCCAAAAAGCAACAATCCGTGCCACCCTCCGCATTTTTTACTTGCTAAGGTAATCATACATTTACTTCATAACTACATTACTAATAACTGTGATTTCTACGCCCAAATAAAAACAAGTTTAATATTTAAACGAGATTTTTTAAAGTTATCATGAATATTGTAACGTACTGAGTCAATCTTTGCAGGTATAAGCAATTTATAACATTTTCACTTCACGTTGTACTTTTTCCCTTTTCCCCCCTTTAACATGTGAATTGACGATTACTCTTTGGCAAAGAGCACTCACGCAGGGTTTTTTATGTGTACAATGAGCGAACTTTTGCTGTAATAGCTTTTGTCAGTTTACTGCTTTTAAACAATTTGAAGGTGAAGGATGTAGACATACTACAGTCTGTATATTAACAGAAATAACTTTATTTTAAACAAAGCAGCTTTTGAGATGCGTTGGAGTAATTGGTGTGCATCTTTAGTTCTCTGTGAAGTGTGCTGCATCTTCCCTTGCTTGGGTCTCTTCTCCGAGTTCATGTCCACTTGTATACGGGAGATATTTATATTTAAAACAACAAGGCATAATAACGCGAATTCACTCCACCGACACCTCCAAACACACCTTGTCAGATTAAACATATACAAATATTTCACAAGGCTATTAATTTAGCGCTGGCACCACCGATACTATTCATATTTACCATATGTTCATTTGAATACAAAATAGAATCACAGTACCCGTATAAAATAACTTCCAAACCAGTTATATTTATAAAGTCATAACATAATTAAATACTCTATAATATCTAGCCCAAAGTATCCTAAACATATAAGTTAGGCGTGTACACCATTCACGCACGTGGCGATTAATTGAACTGGTATTTTCTCAATGAAAACTTGATGTCAACACAGCCTATAACCCACGTTCCGTGTTAAACCAGAACAACTCTATGCCTAGTGTCCAACGAGCGTAATAAAAAATGACTCCCCGATACCTTCACCTTTACAATGAGCCTCATTTTAACCCAAAGCACTTTGTTCCGTGAGATATCTCCGTGCCTATCTGCCCCTTAACTTAAGAGCCCAACGACTTTAGTCTCACCCGAGACTGTCAAGCCCGTCCCAATACCCACCAGCTCTGCGCAGCTTGTGCACACATTCTGAGACTGTGCATTGATGAGGACGCCACGGAGCGGCCGTTCTTTGCAGCACAAATCGCACTGCCCGAAGCAGACGACCAGGAACGTCTGGTCACACATCTCCGCTGTGAAAACCGAGAGACGAAGAGCATTAGCACGTATTCTTAGGTTTTTTTCGGTAAAGTCACGTAGGTAAAAAATTAAAATTAATGAAAGTATAATAAAATAAAAATAAAAAATCACGACGTTTTGGAGGCAACACAAGCTTCCGTCTTCAGGTGGAACCTAAGAATATGAATCCTTGCAGTCACGAAAGCTTCAAATCTAGAAGCATTAGCACGGTGCAACTGGGAAATACTTTCATGAAAGCAAACGTTCCCTTTGGCGTGATTCCACATGTTCTAATTTCAACTTGGAATGTGCCGCACAGTATTTAGAGGCGCGAGGAACCACAGGCGAAGGCAGTCATGCGATGTGCAGGCAGCCACCAACAGTTGCCCGAGCTTTGTAGTCCTCTATATGTTAAGGTGTGATCGGCTAATCAATTCGTGTTTACATTTTGGGAGGAAGCCAGATCGCCTGGAGAAAACCCAGGCTTGTGAGGAGGAAACACTCTATCGCATACAGAAGGAACAGATGGAGTCCACATGTTTGCTATACCGCCTTATCCTGGCCAGCAACGGTGCTTGGTTACAGGTGTGCACCAACACCTTTCGGCTATAGCTAGCTTCTACACTTAAACACGGATGCACTGGACAGACAGCACTCGTAATGTTTCGAGAGAATGAAGGCTTGCGTAGCTTACTCTTATTTCATACATTTATCCGTTAATATTGAATTCCAAAGTTCCACGGGTCATTGTAGCACAAGATGTAGGAATCACTTCAAAGCGGTACCAACGTAAAAACAAAATCAATGTATTTATGATCTTACATACACATAAGGGTTCATGCCAAACACGTGATTTGATACCGTAATACTAATAACAATAATACGTTCAGCGGCGTGGTTCAAGGAGAATAGCATAGAGGTCATCACGCGGTTATTTAGTGATGCTGCTGCATTAGTCGTGGTGCACAAACACAATTAGATAAAACCTCAAGCCGCTCGTCAATATCACTGCCACTACTGGGTTAAGATAAATTTCAGCAGTCGAGCGGAATTGCGGTAAATGTACGAAAAACGCGCCATCTGCCGTGAAATGGCATTTCAGTTAAATGCAGGAGCTGCCCGCAGTGTATTATATTCCACATTTTGAGATGATCCTCGAAGTGTTCATCGGCAGAGTATAATGTCAAATGTTTCCCACCAGGTTCCCATTGCAACATAAACATGCGTGGGCTCATATGGATAAAGAACACTATTCGTAAGAGCACCCCGAGGCTCGAGAGTAAAACCCATTTATTCTGTTTTACTTCACATTACGTTGAGTAATGCGGGCTATCAGCTCGCTTAAAGAATGACTCAGCTTCACATGCAGCAGCTACCGTCTCGTGCAGTGCTGCCACCTGTCTTCCGAATTGAGACATGTTTTATTACAAGAAACGAGCGTAAGGATGCATCGTTTTGCTATAATTGTGTGAACAGCGCTCCGAGATAAAGTTTAAACACATTTGTCAATCACACGGCCTTAAAATAAAAAAAAGCATCAGGTAATGTTATGATCGAATGTGTTGAGTGTTTTGTTGATTATGCTTGTGCACCACTCCCAACAACAGCAGCGTCACTAAGTGTTCAAAGATAAACGCATTGATTGCTCACTGCTGTAACACATCGCTATATTGTATATTTGCTCGGCTTCACCATGTAGGCGTGCACTGGCGACACGTTTAATCCAGATGGCGAGACTAGACTCATGGGACCACCAACGTGTTTCATGGATCAATATTTTAAAGAACCCCAATGTATGTCATGCAATTCCGTTGGTAACAATTTATTACTGACCCATTCCATGTAAATAACAGGTTATAATACATTTTAAGCACAATTTAATGCATATATGATTCGTAATAAATTATTGTTGGTTCGATCGTGTAGGTATAATGCCAATTTTAACTATAATCCTTCACTAATTTTGATTTGAAGCTTTCGTGACTGCAGGAATCCATACCCCTTGGTTCTCTCGGTAAAGTCACGTAGGTATAAAATAAAATAAATCACGACGTTTCGATCGCAACACAAGCGACCGTCATCAGGTGGAACAGATACAGCAAGGAGAACTGCTGACAGAGGAGAAAGAGCTGCTGACAACAAGAGTTTATATCGGATTTTGGTGGGCTCAACCCAAGGGTAAGTGGGCGGAGCTAGAAAGGGAATTTGTACGTAAATGTAAATGTGAGAGATTAGCATGTCAATGCGAGACGGTCCCAGCCACAGAAGGATCCCCGCCACCTTCTGTGTTGTCACGTGGGCCAATATGCCAATTGATTTTGTTTATCAGCAAAAAACATCGCATTCTAATAAGACAATTTCGAGACTTACAAAGCACAATAACGCATGATCAACGTAATCTCAAACGGGATAGTGACAGTCATAAGGTGATGAAATTGAGAAAGTGTTGTGATGAATATTTTGAGGGAAGCAACCCGAAATAATAAAACATTAAATTTTTCTATATATGACTCAACCGAGTAGACATGTTAATGTATTCTTGTTTTTCTGCACATACATCAGTCCTTACCGTAGCCCAATTAAAACTTCAGTCTAAAGACACGTCAAATGTCCATGTACAATTGTTTTGCATGACATTACAACGCTTTTGCACACCCATAATCAGATTTTTCTATTCATAGTTTAAAAAATTTTAAATGCGCTAGCAAGGCTAAAAGTATACCAAAATATTTATTTTAATATGAACCCTAAACTAATATAACTTCTGCTATCGCCAATGATGCCGCAGTTGTATTTACTAGCAAAACTGTCATTACGGTAATGACATGACAGTGATGGTAATGACGGCAATGATACTTAAAGCTTTCACTCAGTCATCTAAAATAAATACTTAAATGAATAAATCACTTATAATGGCACTCCACAGATTCCAAAATACAAGATCAAGCTGCCTGTGGATTTTTTTGTGCGCAGTTCTAGCCCTAATGGCTTTGGTGGCTTTGAGGCCTTTATTGGCAACGTTACCTCACATGACCCTGGCAGTTTGGATTATTCACAGCGGCATAATAATGTATTGACAGAATTTTTATTGGAGAAATACGTGCATACATATTCAGATCTCAATATTTATGATTTGCTGGTGGCACGGCCATTACAAACATCCAATGGAAATGAGCTGCAGAAAATGCTAGCAGAACTTAATAGATAAGGCTGCAAAGTTGGGCTCAGGATAGACATAAGCAAAACTGAATGTCACGTACAACAAATTCACGAAGCAATTTGAGATATCTGTCAGAGGAATATAACTAGAAATCACAGGCGGGTTTAAGTGATTTAAGAAAGCTGAACTTGATATTGAAAAGTAACAAAGCAATGCGCCTAAAGAAGAACTGTTATAAACAACGCGTACGACCTGCTGCTGCATATAGTTCAAAAGCACGGTCATTAAAGATAAATATAGAACAATAACTGTAAAGTGTGCAAAGCAAACACGAGGAGATGCATGCTTGGAATTACAACGAGAGACATACAGAAAAACACATGGATCACAGAACATATGCAGATTTACGACATCGTCCAAACTACGAAGAGGAGTTTGTGGGCTTTGGTAGGACACGTCACCAGCAATGATGGTGGCAGGTCGTCGAGAATAATAATGGGGTGGCAGCCAGAGAATGGAAATCATTCCGAAGGGGACATCGACCGAGAAGATGTAGCGATGAAATCAGTTCAAGTGCAGGTGATGATGGATTGGAAATTTAGTGTATTATTATGATTATGTTTTACATCACAGGGTCGTGAGAGGGTACGTTGGCTTGGAGAAACCGTCATCAGTGCAGTGGATTGATCATGGTTGACGATGATGAACCTTCTTACAGTAGATCTCTTTCATAATAGAGGTATTTGGGTTAGATCGCGTAAATATATAAATGTGTCGTTAAAACCCGCTACCACCCGACACAGCCAACTAGTAAGGGTTGTCACGTAAACATAACGTGGCCAATTCGTCACTAGTTAGAGAGCCAAGCCACAACATCTACAATCTGAGTACAACGTTTCGCCAGTAATTACAACTAGCTTCATCGGGCGACAGCCAGATTTGTGGATCTCCTCTTATCCTATTGCCCGCGACTCATTTCGCCTACAGGCGCTGCTGTAAGATCTATGAAAACTCTTACGACCGGGCGGCACTATTCTTCAAAATACTTATCTGGCATCATCTGCGACTTTACCCAAAATCCTTTGATGAACGGCGTTGAATTACACGATATTTCTTGCAGTTTGGAGGAGTCGCAGGATAAAAAAAAACTCATATTACTTACGGATTATCTGCACATTTGTGTTACATACATAAAATGCTCAGAGAGAAAGAGAGTGACACTGGAAAGCGCTGTGATCAAACAATATGCGCGGGCGGCATCTGTTTTGATCAAAACGGCACCCAGACAACACAGACAGACACACAGAGACACGGTGACACGGATACACAGAGACGTGGAGACACACACTGACGGATACACACACAGATACAGAGTCAGAGAGAACCGGATACAAAGACACAAAGATTGAGAGAGAGAGAAACGGAGACAGACAGGGAGACTCACACAGACATTGAGGCACAACGCAAAGACTCAGATACACTCACAGACACGGAGATGTCCGCAGAGAAACGGGGACGCATATATACAAATAGACACACAGAGAAAGAGTCGTAGATATACAATATAAGCCTTACCTGATGGAAATATGTGGCGTAGATCGAGATCAAGTGTTGTCTGACAATCGTATGCAGAGTGTGGGGGACAGCGTGCCTCTGATTACTACCCTGGCTAAGAGCATTAGGATTAGAGTCTATATGAGGGCACTGATGCACGTGTGATAAGGAGGCTAATCCCTGAGTAAATTACCGTCTAATATGTGAATTAAACTCAAAATCAAACTTGCCAACATTTGAAAATGTTCTGTTAACGGAATTTTAAAAATGAAAGTGTACATTCTTTTTTTTTAATGT